CTAAAGTCAAATCTTTTGAAGAACTTGAAATTAGAAGATGGCGGGAAGAAATTGTAAAACTGCAAAATAAGAACAAGAATCTTCGTAACAATTTATCAGCTATCTTCAACGATGTTCAACTTTTCTCACTAGAAAAAAATAGAAATGAAAAACGTACACAGGGTAAACGTGACTTGTTTTAAAAGTGACACACGATGCAGTTACGAGTTACTCTCGAATGTGAGAAGTTTGCTAGTAAATCGAAATAACTCGCAAAAATTTCTTTCTCCAGTAATTGAAATTGACAAACATAATCTTAAGTGTAGGCAACGGTTTTATATCTTTTTATGAAACATGGGAGCAAAACGACTATTCATTTGAAGCAATATCTCGGGACCTAATGACGTTAAAATCTTTTGAATTTTTTTACAAAAGCATTTTAATAACTTCACATTTTTCATGGCACAAACGTTATTCATAAAGCGGTAGAGACCATAGAGAAATGTAAAGTAAATGTCAGGCAATCAATGAGTAAATCGAAACAGCGCTCAAACATTTTCTTCTAACAGTCTTAGATTTTGGACATATATAATCTTAGGAAAGAATGCATTAAAAAAACGAATATTCTTTAAAGCCAAATATTTAAGAAATGTAGCTATGCGATGAGTGTACGTATAATCTTTTGAATTCGGTTCTGAAAGAACTTCGTTGACCTGGAGTTTTGGATGTAGTCGCTATTGACATAAAGGCCATAGACATTTAATAGCAAGAACGATATAAGACCACGTGTATAATAAATGGCTAGAACTTTTGCGATTCACTTGCCAGTAGAAATGTTTCAAATATGAGATTGGTTTCTGAGACAATTTCATTGACTTCACGTCGACAAAAATAAATGAGATGGTGTGATTTTACTTGTCACTACACTTAAGATTATGTTTGTCGATTTCAAATACTGGAGAAAAAATTTTTGCGAGTTATTTCGATTCATTTGCAAAAGAAAGTCACTTATTCACTCGCAAACTTCTCACACTCGAGAGTGACTCGCCATTCGATACTCACGAGTCAAGTCATGTTACTCGAGGTCGGTACTGTAGGGTTTAAATACATAGGTAAGAAAGGGATACACAGGGTTTAGATAGGTGAGAAAGCGTGGCACACAAACACCATGACTCTTTTCCTTCTTCCTCACCCTAACAAATCCCTCATCTTAAGTATTATCAAAACCCTATTTATCCTAACTCCAACCCACAGTGTCCAACAATGAAAGAAATTACGCCAAATTATGAAATCTCAATTGACATTAAGAGCAGAATGTAAAACGCTATTTCTAGTTTGAAATTTATTCAAAATCCACTCAAAATAAAAGAAAAGAGAAAATACATTCACTCAATGGTTTTTAAAGATTAAAATAAACACAGTAAGATAATAATCACCTGACGTTATGAAATGTTCTGTTTTCATAATGATAACATGGAGGAGGATTACCATGTTTGAAAGAACTTTGTAAAGAATCGTAATCATGTCGACAGGTTATCGCCAATTTCTTAAACCTTAAATAAAAGTAGAAATAAGTACAAATTATCTCAAATGTTTTAAAAGGTTCTACTTTGTTGTGATTGTAAGCTCCCCCTTATTCCGTAAACCCCCCCCTGCAAAAAAGAAACCGACAGACAGAAACAAATCAAGATTTCACCTCTATATAGATTGACCGGAAGGACTGGGTCCAGTTATGTCATGATTATGTGCAAGCCCCGGGGTGGCAGCAATAACATGAAAAAAATGAGCAACAAAAAACATTACTTTGCATTCACACACAGCCAAATTTCCTGTACACACAATATATGATGACGTATGAACCTGACAACAAATATGGAAAACCTGACTTTTACTCCTCACTTTATTCTGGAGATGACTACCACTAAGAATTACAAAACATCAATTTACATCAATAACAACAATCCTTCTCATGACTGCACAAATCTGAACAATCTACATCTACAAACATGTAATAATACTCCCAGGTTTAAATCATTCACTTTATTACAACCAAACTATTATATATTAGTACAGACCAGTGGCTACTGATATGAATGCCATCTTTAAAATATAAAATTTTACATGACAAATTAGAACAGATAAATAAACTATATATTTAGAGTTTGAATATCTGAGAATGCAGACAAGAAATGTTTTCAAATGCACTTCATTATCAAATAATGCATTGATAATATGTACAGTAAAATACAGATTTGTGTTTGTATTCATGTCTTTTAGTATTTTCCATTGATTTATCACTAATGACATAAGTTTAAAACTATGTCTACATCAATGGAATGGAATTTGAAACCATATCCATATCGAATTACACTACTATTTGTATTGTATTAACGGAAAAAGAAATGTTATGCTACAAAGAATTTTATATAAAAAATATTTTACTAGCAAGTATACTTACACTTCATCAATCAGCTTGCATTATTTTGATTAGAAAATAATACAAAATAGGCATCATGAAATTTTATATTTCTTGATTCTGGCACATTACAAAAATAAGACAATATCAACTTCTTAAATACAGCTAAATATCCTACGGGCATTTAATACTTCCATTGTTACTACAAGACTATACATATGTGGAGGAAAGAAAATTATCAAAGAATGTTTTGGATCCTTCAAAATGTTACAACTGTCTGTTTAATAGTCCGTTCACACTTTATATGTTCTTTTGAGTTTATTATCTAAGGTGAACTATTTGATTTTGTATTTATATGAATGGGGCAATGAAGGTGTTCATATGCACAAAACAATTGGTTTTTAGCAAAATTTTGAATCTCACATGAAAAATTTAAAACAAAAATTCAACAAGGTAATTAAAGTAATATCAACTCAGTTATACTTTCAAAATTAGCGATAAACTATGGCTATGCAAAGAATTAATTAAAAGCTACACTCGAAGAGTTCACAAAAAATTTACACAAACTGTACGACCAAAATAAGGAAAATGAAAGAATTTTGCTACGAGTTATCAATGACAATGAATGAATGTCGATGATGTCACGTTCGCATTATTTTGTCGAGCTATGAACTATAACAATATTCTCTGTTTAAGTTTTTATTAAGTAAATAGTGATGTCGGATGAATAGCTTTAGAACATTGAGTTTTGATGTCGTTAAACATTCACGGTGTACATTAAAAAAACACAATTGATTTTATTAAACTTTCTGATGATCAGTAAAAGACTCTCAATGAAAACAAAAGGTTTCCAAAGAAATAAATGATCATAAAGTTCCGAAATTTTCATAGCGTGACTAAACTTGAGAACTGACTACGCTACTTAACACAATCGCTTTTATAGAAAATTGATCGATGGTATTTCAAATATTAGTTGTTTATATAAATACCTTGGTAGAAGCTTTCAAACTTTGGAGGTATTTGTCTTCTTTGGCATAAGAGAAAACTTCAAGCAAAGTACAAATAATTAAATATGGTTTATAGTCCAGTCAATCTACGACCAAAAACACTCTAACCTTGAACAAATTTCCACAAAAGAAATTCCAACTGATTTTGGTATATTTGATATCCCTTTACAACATATCGAAAGTCCCACAAAATCCTAGCACGGCAACATCGTGTAAATTACGTTTTATTTGAGGCATTTGGATTGAAAATCTGAGCGACATGGAAACGAGGCTCAAAAATTAATGTTTTAGATTTTATCCTTTTAGAACACTTAGTAAAGCACAAATATAAATATTATAGATTAAAAACAAGTGGATAATGATATTTTGTAAATTAATTAATATTTTGTCCTTTATTTACGTCAAAAATGCTGATCTTGCTGTTTTGGGTACTAATTTTCGCTGACTTGGTAGTTTTTTAGGCAAACGCGTGTTTGAAGTACGTTTGTTTACGTATATTTTGTACGTGTTTAGATGGATATTTATTATATTTAATGTGACTTCCCTTTCAATACTTCAAATTGAAGCTTTGACTCATTATTGGCATCAAAATGTGACGTTTCTTTGTTCTCCTCAAGGTAAGCAAAATAGATAACTTGAAGACAATGAGTTAATGAATGTATTATTTAATTGCTATTACATTTTACAATGAATAAATACGTCAATATTGTGGGTCACAATAATTTAAGTTAAAACTAACAAGAGGGGGCTATAATTAGCGACCTAATTACCAAATACAATGTTTGCATTATAATACCGCGTTCAAAGCCATAGATACATTAGGGCTGTAAAATATCGCATAAACCAGTAAATAAAACCAGGCTTTTTTGTGTTGTCGAACACTATTTTGCTTGTGAATCATTATAGGATGGATCAAATTCTGCGTCAGTACTGTGCAATATGTAAAGAATCAATTGTGAACAACGGGGTGGCTCTAACATCTAAAGGGATAGATGGTATAAACCGAGCTAGTATAGAAAGAGGCGATACAGTTGACGTCCGTAAAGGTGACAGCGTTCACATAGCATGTAGGAAACGATACACAAATCCATCATATATTTCTAAATCGCTACGTCAGAAGGAAGAGCGTCATCCCGTACAAAGAACCCTTCGCTCACAAAGTTCAGTTCAGTTCGATTTCAGAAGAGATTGCTTGTTTTGCGGAAATGAAATTAATCAAGAACAAGAGCGCAAAAGGGGGCGTGTTGTTTGCACTGTTAGGACTATGGACATTCAAGACACTATCTTGAATGCTTGCAAAGTGAGATGCGATGACTGGGAATTAAAGCTGAACGAAATGGAAATTGGGAGATGCACCTCCAAGTCCTATCAAGAATGTTACCATACTTTGCTGCATCTGGCCACAACCTTTACACAGAAAGTTCTACCCTCTATTTACAATCTATGATGAATCTTAAAGATGAGTTTCCTGAAGTCTACAAGTCATTTTCAGATGGTTTCCATGTTGTCAGAAGGAGTGAACGTTACTGGGCTGGCCTGTCCACTGATTTAATTATAGAACTGTTAAAACCACAGGTGGCCTGACCCGCGGAAGTGGAATGACCGAACGGCAACGTGTCGTGTGGGTATTGTCTACTCCAGCATGTGCCCAGCTTAGCTCAGCTATGCAAGACCTCATTGGCATCATTTGTGAACACAGCGAACAAAACAAAGATATGTCCCAAAGTCGACAGAAAAGAGATATGGATGATACCATGCTCATCCTTAAAACGCTTGCATCAGAAGGAAAGAATCCATTTATTCAAGAATCAGTTCTCAAGAATATAATGACAGGTGTAAACGCAGATGATTCCGTTGATGTTGATGAAGCTCGAAGTAAAGGAGAAAACATATTGTCAAAGATGGCTGGTACAAAAGTATGCGACTACACATTTACACGTAAAGATCAGGCCATTACTCTTGCTGCAGGCTCATCAGTAAAGATAAACGGAGTAAAAGTACATCTCGATCCACAGCTTCTGTTTCAGAGGTTAGTCCTTGCATGTAATACCGTTGATGATTTAGAAGAAGTATTTCAATACGAGCTTTGTAGTTATCCAGCAGCCTTGTTCGATTCCCCGCTAACGTTGCGACAGCCTCAGAAGTCTAATCTTGCAGACACATTGTGGGAAATGCTGTCACCTGATGCTAAGGCCGGCCCGGTCGGCGAAACCAAATTCGATAATTGATGGAGGAGCTCTTCTTCATCGCGTACTATGGCCAAAGGAAGCAACCTTTCAAGAATTGTGCCAGAAGTACTGCCACTATGTAAAACAGAAATATGGGGCAGGAAGTTGTATTGTTTTTGACGGTTATGATAACCCATCTACTAAGAACATGGCGCAACAACGAAGATCATCCGGAAAGGTTAGGCAACAGTGTCATTCGAAGCTGACATGAAGATAACAATGAAAAGAGATGTATTCCTGGCTAATATACACAATAAGAAACGACTTATAACTACTCTTCGAAATTATCTGGATTTGAATGGCTGTACTACACTCCAAGCCGATGGCGACGCTGATCTTCTCATAGTAAAGTCAGCTGTTTCAAGTGCCATGAAATCTCCTACCGTTCTTGTTGGAGATGATACAGATCTTCTTGTTTTAATGTGCTATTACGTCAAAGTGGATGAGGGATGTGGTCTTTATTTTCGTCCAGAACCAAAGAAAACAACTAAACGTAGAACGGAAAGAGTATGGAACATGAGAATAGTGAGATCAGAGCTGGGTGAATCTCTGTGTAAAAACATTTTGTTTCTTCATGCTATTGCTGGTTGTGACACGACATCCCGGCCCTTTGGCCTTGGAAAATCGGCACCTCTTAAGAAATTCACAGATTCAAACTATTTCCGTAAACAAGCATCAGCATTTGAAGTTTCAAACGTCAGTATGAATACGGTTATCCAGAGTGGTGAAAATGCCTTGGTCTGCATGTATGGAGGAAAAAAAGGCGAGACTCTAGACAGTTTGCGCCACAGGAAGTACTACGACAAGGTGTGCACTAAAGGCCGAATGGTAGAGCCCCAAAGTCTTCCCCCAACATCTAGTGCAGCCAAGTATCATTCATTGAGAGTCTTTCTTCAAGTTAAGCAATGGCAGAGTCAAGACGAAGGATTGTTGATTGATGCATTTGGTTGGAAAATGTGTGGTTATGTTATCGTACCTAGAACAACTGATCTTCCAGCAGCTCCTGAAAACTTGCTTAATATGATACGATGCAACTGTACCACAAATTGTTCAACTGCAAGATGTACCTGTCGTAAAAATGGACTTCACTGCACAATGGCATGTGGTCAATGTAGAGGTACTGGTTGCACTAACAGTGGTGTTGATGTTGAAGATGATTAACAAAAGTATGAAATGACAGAAATGTCTTTGTAAATCAAAGTACACTATATCAACCATATGTAAATTTAGTGACACTCTTGTATTACTATGTAACCTAAAGGATTCCTTTTTTTCGGTCGTTGAAGACTTAACATGATTTTTAATAGCCACGCTGCAGATTTATATAATCAAATATGATATTCGTTAGGTCAAAGCAGTGTTATTTTGTAATTCTTGTTTATAGCCTCGTTTTCATGTCATAATTTCACAGAAAACATTATTTTACGAAGTTGCCGGCCTCAGATCATGTGGGACTTTTAATATGTTGTTCTGTACATGAAAGGAAAGATATTTTTGAAGAGTGAGCTTTTGTGGGAATTAGTTCAAGGTTCAGCCATAAATCTACTGGACTATTATTACATTGAAACAAGAAGGAAAAGTTTCTCCCTCAAATAAAAATGCAAATAACTAACTAGAAACAGGAAACATTGAGTAGGAGTACTTCATGTAAGAAAAGATATAATATCTTTTAACAAAGGCTCTTTTGATGAGGTATAGGCTTCTCTGCACAAGGTTAAATTAATTTCTCATTTGGCATTTTCCGTTTTTTATTAAGTACTTTCAGTAATATATGTTAGTTAAGTTGTAAAGGCTACAAACGTCGGTATCTTTCGTTAAAATGGTTAAACAAGCATACAGATTTTGTTCGAGTGGTCTCCTTTGATTTTGGTAAAATCTTTGATTCAGTTTCAAATAACGTGGTAGTTGAAAATTTTTCTTTTCCCATCTGACTCCGGTTACTTGGTGTCTCTTGCTTTTTTGTTGGTCGCATAAGTTCTTATGCTTCGTGCAATTACTTTACGACATTTTTTCTTTTAGAAATTCAATGAACGCTTTTCAAAATAGACTATTGTGTTGTAATTTTTCTTTAGAAACTGAACAATTTTAGTATGCATGTTACAAAAAATGAGTGAAAACCAACTATTTACTTAGAGCACTTGGCCTCTTATATTGACAACTAAACATTGAAAGATTTAATCACAAAATCCTAGTTTAAACATGATATTTTTATTTATTTTCAAATTGTAAAAATAGACCACCGTGATCCTTCATAATAACCTCATACTCATGTAAACTAAATTTAAAACTTGTCAACTCTAATTACGAATTTAAAACCTGGATCATGTTCCTCCATTCTCCTCTTTTGCATTTGCCTCTTTTGAGTCTTTTCATCTTTGTAGAATGTAGTCAGTCTTCATAGTCCAATGTAATTGTTCATACATGTTATATAATGTTCTTTTAATAAATTTTTATCATTCCATTTGTGGTGTAACCTCAATATTTAACCAATAGAGTACAGACGTCATGGACATCCTTTTTGGTCCTTCACACTACGAAGGTTTTAGTACGGAAGTAAAATCCTTCACATTACGAAAGTTTTAACTAGACCTGTTAATTTCTTCCATATATTTCTTACTTCGCCTGTTCGCCAGTAAATACACAGTACTTACATTTCCTCTCTATAAAGTTAAAGCGACTTGACTGACGTTAAAGTAAACACATACGAATTTATATACTTTAACACTTTGAAATTGACGTCACGATAAAATTTTTAATTTTTATTGGCTCGAGGTGCATATGACCATTCAAATATACAATAATTAATCCTCTAACGTCTTTGAAAAAAATTTTTACGCCCGTTTCAAATCTCGAACTTTATATTTGCGAACTAAAATAAGGCTCAGTTTACTGTATAGAATTGCTATCGCTGCAGGTTAAATTTTCTATGTATTAAAAGTCAGTGATATCGTTAAATGCAAAAAACACAATTAAATTGACTAAAATCTATGGACTTAATAAGTATTTACTCCAAACTGTTACCTCTTGAAACGAAATGAAGATATCTTGATGAGCAAATCTGGTATATAATGTAAACGCAGCCAAAACCTTAAATTTTAATAAATGAAGCCTCAATGTAACATGATCATGCAATTAAGAAATAAAAGATGTTTCATGTTTTTGCACAGGCTTATGCAAACCGAGGAGAACTTTGGGAGAATTTAAATGCAGAGCAGTGCAGGCCAGAGACGGAAGGTTGAGGTTTGCACCTGCTCGAGATGTTGCCCTAATTTTATTACTCTGTCCTTAGTTATCCCTCCCCTTTTGTAAAATTAGAAAAACTTAAAAACATAAGATTTTAAAATTTTAAATTAGAGAAGAACTTGTAAACACATTTATCATTAATTCATGTCAATATTTTACTGTATATAATCTACTTATATTTAAATAAACTATCACTGTATCACATTACTACCATATATGTTGTATCATATACATAATGTTGTCACTAATACTGAAGATGACATCACGAGATGTTGAAACATGTTTATTTTGAAAAACTCCAATGTTTACCTTAGTCATTAAAAGACAACAAAATGTACGCTATACGTACCTGTTTGATGACCCAAACTTTGAAACTGAAAAATGAGTCACATTTTCTGTCTTTAAGGTCATATGTACATAATAAACGTACAAAAATGATCTCTCACATTTTACAACTAATGACCATAAAACCGAAATGGTGTTTTTATATATGTGAATTTTTAACAGCATACAAAACCTATTTCCACGATATTAAATTGTATTTACAGTTCTTGAAAGCATGTCTAAAGAAAGTCACTGTATAATTTCATCAAAATAATCTTCATCTACAACAACACCATATTATCAAATGACTCACAATGAATGAGTTGTCGACATTCTTTCATTTCTATGTAGTGAACGTCTTATTTATAATATTATATAATAACCGGAAGAATTTAAGCAATTTCATTGGTCGAGAGCTATGATCTATAAGAGGAGACGCACGGAATTGAGATAACAGAAAATTCCTGGTCTTTTAAATGACAAAAACGAACGGAGAATTTATTTGAATATTTAACTGAATATATCCCTGAATGGGCAAATAAAGAAATTAAGAATGCCAAGTTGAAGCATTGGACGCATTTGAGCAAAAAGAAAAGAAAAAACCCGGTTTTCAAACATTGATTTGCCCCGGCGGCTCGTGGCCACTCAGTTTTTATCACAATGACGTCATACCCGTGTATCTATAACTGTATAGACAACTGTTAAATGTTATCTATTTGTTAAATAAAAATAACCAAATTATTTAACCATACATTTTTATTAAAAAGTAAATCATCAACATGAAATTTGTTCAGAGGTACAATACATAATAATAAGTTTGACAGAGCATATTACAGTAGTAGTCTAATCTAGAGGTTGTCCTGTTTAAATGACAATTCATTTATGAAGATTACAAGTAGAATCTTAAAAAGGAATAAACAAATATTCATGATCAATTAGTATAGAAGCGCTCTTTTTAAATACAAGTCATTTGTGTTATAAAAAGCAATGATACATCGTTTCAGATTATTGCAAAACATAGATAATGTTTTACATTCTTTAATAGCAGGAGGTAAGACATTCCAAGAATAGTACCGATAAATTTAACACATCTATGGCAAAATTGGTCTAAATTTATTTTTTGAACATATAGATAATTTCTTTAAGATTGCCTGGTAGAATAAGTATACTTCTTCTGTAGAAAACTATAGTAGGTGGAAACAAGCAATCATCCTTACGACCATCAACATCTAAGTGCAATTTTCTCAAAAGGCTTTTGAATTTACTATTAAAGTTTGGGTTGATGTATTTATTCAGGAACATTAAGTTTTAAAAATTCAATTCTGCAAAATGATTTGTCAACTAAAGCTAAAGTTCCTGTATTGGGATGCATAGTTATCATAAAGGTAGAATAATGTTCGTTGTCAAATTCAGCGCACGTTTTACCACTCTTTAAATCTACAGCACCCAATGGCCAATCAAACACTCCAATGCAATAAGATTTGTGTACGACTAGGTTGGATTTCAAAAATCCAAGACTGACATTATGTAAAATCTCATTCACATTACCATTCTCTTGAACATTAATTACATAAATGCCCACACATTCGAAGCCTTCGGAAAATGCTATGGCTGCTTGTTTACTATCACTTATACAGCAGTTGAACTCTAGATCATTTACAGTTATCTGTTCCCAAACAAGTTTTTCAATGACAGCTGTTATGGGTATTTCTGCAGTATACCAAGGTTTTAAGTAAAGTTCATTGTTGGTATTTCTCCATTTCCATAATGTGTATTCTGTTTTGTGTACAGTTAAAATAACAGAATTGTCAGGTGATACAGCTGCTGCTTTAAATTTTGATCTATCAACAGGAAGTCTTTTGTTGTATTGTATCTCACCCTTGGTAATTCTAACAACTCTAACAAAACCTTTACGGTTTTTACAAACTAAGACATCACCAAATGTTAATATTTTTCTCGCTCTAAATCCAATGTTAACATGCTTTGCTTGAGTAGAATCTACAAAATTTTCAGACGAAGTTGATATCTTCGTAAGATGACGAGAACCATCCCATATCCACAATAAACCATCTGACCACCAACATCCTTTTGCTTTCTTCAGTTGCATTGGTACAGTTTGAATAATAGTGCAACGTTCAATGCTCCAAATATGAATGTTGACGTGGTCACCCACAGCGAAAGCAGCAAAAAAAGATCCATCCGGTGACAAACAACAACATTTAATTTCAAATTCCTCAAAGACAAATGAAGGTCTCCAAAGATGATCAGTTTTGAAAATTTTAAGCTTTGTAAGATACGGCACAACGTAAAATTCTTTAAACGAGATTGGATGGACTTTCGTAAGATTCCTCCAAAAACATTGACACTCAACATCCGGTAAACAAAATTCGATTTCTCCTTGATCGTTGTATTTTGTCAACTGAGTGATTTCAGAAAGCTTTCCATTCTGGCTTGTATGATAAAAAATACAATCACGATAATGGTGTGTTATTAAATACAAAGGTAGTGAATATTCCTTTTTACTTGAAAAAATATCGATTGCCTTTGGGAATTGAAAAACATACGAAGTGTCGTCGAATTGTGCAACAAAGAACTCTGAATATTTATCGGTGCATTGTAGTTCTTGGTAATCAACAACGCAGCGTCGATCGATTCTTTGCAAAGTTAATGAATTCCATGCAGTGAACATAAGTGTGTTCCTCATAAGATTATCATAGTAAACTTTTAGATATTCTGCTGTAATGAACAAACCAGAATCCAAGAAAGAGCAACGATTAACGACATCATCTGACTGTAAACATAATAACAAACGTTCATTGTTAACGTCCCACAACTTTACTTCAGTAGATCCATCACTAGTTACCAGTCTATTTCCGGTAGGTGAGAAGGAGCAACAACAGATGTTTCCACGTACATAAGAAGATTTCTTCATTTCTGGATAGCCATAGTTAAAGTTATTGTTTAAATTGTCATAGATGTCATACTGGGATGCAAATTTGTCATACTCGTCCCATTCCTTTAGCCTTGAATCATCAAGTACAGTGCCGAGAGTGCATCTTTCTGTGAATTCTGGAAGTTCAAAAATAGATATTTGACTATTTTCATATCCTACAGCAAGAAGTTCTTCATTGGACGACACACAAAGAGATGTAACGTTAGCACGCAAGGGGACAGTCAAATGATGATGGTTTGTTAAATATGTTGTGTCCAAATCCTCGAACCAAGAAAACTTTCCTTGTTTCAATAAATCCTTAGCCAATAATCTTCTTTCGTTACTGCCATGAATTCTGTTTGCAATAAATTGTAAAAAATCTAAGCTATCTCTAACTTTATATGAGACATATCCCATTGACGAAAACAATCGCAATAGTGGTTCATTAAGTACATCTTTTTTCAATAAAGTAGGTAGTTCCTCAATGATTTCAAGCAATTCAAACCTAATGGTATTCAAGTTAATGTTTTCCACACACATTAACCTCGCACAAACCACTTTGATATCTACTGCCCAGCTAAAGTCAACATTTTCGCCACATTCTATCATATGGTGGACTCCATTCTTCAAAGCATATTTAATCATAGCAGTGTTCATCTGATCTTCAAAAATGTTCATCGACTTAATTTGTCTAAACACTTTCTCACAAGCATGCCATAAGAACTTATGACCATTTTTTGGATCAACTGTAAACTCATGCTCTTCATAACCATCTGATTTTAACCAATCAATGAGAGACTTGTGATATACGGTCAAATAATCATCGTAAATTGGAAAAAATTGAGATAGCACTTGATGTATTTTAATACGATCTTTAAACTTCATGTCATCAGAAAAACCTAAACATTGAAAAAGAAAAGACAAAGGCAAAATACTTTGATAAGTCACCAACACTTCAAGACATTCCGTAAAGTTTTTATCGGAAATAACAGTTTTGTGTGTTGATAAAATTATTCCTTTCAATAATTTATTTAATCTCTTGAATTGTTCTGTGTAAAATTTACTCAACCCAGTAGGAACCAATTGTTCAATATTCTCGACAGTTAGCTCAGTTTTTTCTTTTTTTAACCTCTCTTGTGCGTGGTAAGCGTACAAAAATGAGCTTTTACATTTTTCAACTAATGACAATAGAACGCATGGATCTTTCTGCACCCGATTATTCAACTGATGTCTCAAAAACTTGTACAGGTCTTCTTCGTTGTTTTCATCACGAGGACTAGTTGTAATTTCCACAGGATTCATGTCCTTCAGCTCCTTTTGAGCAGGAAGTTCTGGACGACTGGTGATGAAGATTTTAATCCATTTAGGCAGTCGGTCAAACTCTTCTGCAATCAATTCCAACAATTCACTTTTGCCGTCAACTTGACTTTCATCTAAGGCATCAATAACCAAAAGCATCGGTTCATGACCTTCCAATGAATGCAATGGATTATTCAATAAAACACGGAATGCATCGGTGACTGTATTGTAGGAGTGGTTTCTCTGTAATTCTTCATTCAGTTTACTTTTAAAATCTAATATTGTATCACACATGCTACTAGCCAATGATTCTAATAACATTAGAGGATTCCTCTCATCTGATCTATTATATCTGCAGAAATGAGAAGCAGCAAGTTTCTTCTCTTCAGAATATCGTCGACACACCTCAGCAGCAAACACACTTTTACCAACGCCAGGACCGGCAATCAAAATCATGACATTAGAAGCATCTTCACTTCTATCGTTAAACCAAGTGTCGAGTATTTTAAATAACCATTGTCTAGTGCCTTCAAGGTATTTCTTGTTAAGATCTTTCATAAGACCATTAAAATTACACTTTCCAAGCTTCTTAAGATCTGGGCATACTTTGTCCTGTATCATTTCTCTCACTCTGGTTACATCAGCTTTTGTTGCCATATTTTGTTTAATTTCTACTACATCAGCTTTTTTTGGCATGCTTTCTTCAATTTCTTCTACTTTGTTTTTCATAGCTTCAAAATCTTTTTTTAATGCTTTTACATTTTCGTTGCATTTCTCAGCAACATCGATTAACTGTTGTTCTTTTTCATACCAGTTTTTCAACATTTCAATATGATTTGCCTCATCAGGACTGAGGGGAGCTTTCTTTAATTCATTTATTTCAGTTTGTTGAATACCCAGACCAAACAATGCTTTTGAAATTTCCTGCCACAAATCCTCAAACTCACTGTCATTTACACTAATTGTAGTTATGTGACCGTACACTTTGTTACGATAAAACTTTATTCTTGCAATGTTTGCTGAGATTGAAGAATCTAAAGAGGAAGGAAGATTATTCCATCCACCAGATGGTTCCGTTAAGCCACAAATGTTACGTAATAAGACAGTCAATAATGAAATATCAAAGTTTTCAATGTCAGGTGAGCCAGTTGACGGGTAAAGAAGGCTCCATTGCTCTTTGTTGATGACTTTGAATTTTAGATCTGTCAATTTACTCTTTGTAGAAGGATCATTAAGTTTATCTTTTAAGTTTGATGATTGAAGATTTATAATGAATTGCAATGTTGTTTTTAAGGCTTGGGTTCCTTTATTGATCAAAAGTTTACTTAAACGAAATCCGTTTGCCTCCAATTTCAGTTTTTGAGGTGGTGAAGCCATTTTTCAAGCTAGAAATGAAGAAAGACTTTGTGCAAAAAGCATCAATTTGCAATGTACAAAATGAGCACAAAAGTTAAAAGGATAAATTAAAAATAGTACTGCAAGCCATTTATACAGACTTGTGTGCTTCATTTCTTTTTCTCGATAAAAATTGTGTTCACTGCCTAGTGACATGACCCAGTATTTGATTTTACATCAAGGCAGTAAAATAGTAGACTTGATATAATGAAAAAACATTTAAAATGATAATATCTTCGCCTACTTAGTTTAGCGGACACCCAAAGTGCCGTTGACCGCGGGCTCGTTTTTTCTCGGGATTATAGGGTAGGGTTCGGGTCAGCGTCCAAGGTGTCCGCTAAACTGCAGTAGTATCCCAAAGGACCATAGCTTGACTCTAATCATATATTTAAATTCTTCATCATTTTTGACAATCTGTTAAATCCAAATCGTAGTCATTACTAATTGAAATGAAAATAAAGAAAACTATCTCCTATCTGCTTTACATTTTCCTCATTAAGACACAGAACAGAGGGTGAGAGATAAACAACGCGACATATGAATATAATACAGAACAAAATACAAGTACAGACGGCACAGAGTATCAAGTTCCCTGTATTTTTTGCCCAAACGAGATATATTTGACGTCTGTAATCACCCGTAAAGCGTATAAATGAATGATATTTTCAGCTGCAAGGTTTTGACTATAGTCACTAAAACAAAGTGCAGATTATACGCTCTAAAGCACAGGTAATTAAAGAACAACATAAATATTGACTTTACTTAAGACAATTCTATTCGTGATCGTTCGCATATGCGACTATAACCGATGACACAGCCGAGGATATCACGACGAACAAACACTGCCTGCCTCACTGCCTCACTCAGACACTTTTTCAGTATGGCATAGTGGTTAGCCGCGCATGCACAGCGGCTACCCACAAAAATTAACTAGTGATAAATTATATTACTGTTATAATACAGTATAACTTGACGTCTATAACTGCTCCCCCCCCAAAAAAAAATGTTGTTGCTCCCCCAAATTTTACAACCAGCCACATGCCTGCTCATATTGATAACACTTTAAGCGTGATTCCGTTTGAAGATGCTTCGAGAAATTCTAAAAACTTCACAATTGATGAGTGTCTTATGCAGGATTAGATAACGTAAGAAAAGTACAAATAATACGCAAATCATTCATTACCTATTCTGTAAACTTCAATTTTGTAATTTTCACGCGTTCAAATGAGAAGACGCCGGCCCCTATTATATTACTGGCCCAAGGCAAAATGCCCCCTTGCCTATCACCTCACTGCGGCCCTGACCTGACAGTCAGTGAAATTTCTCGACTTTGTGTTGTTACACGATTTAATTCAAGTAACTAAAACAGTTAGACACGTTCGAAAACGAAACAAGTATCTTGATTTCAGTTTCTCAGTGTACATGCTAAATCAAAGTTCATCTAAGACTAAATTACGTGCAAAATGAATGATGATGAAATATGTACGTTATCTGGCGCTCATTTTGACCCCTTGAAACTAATCTTTACTTTACATTTGTACATTGTACTGTTTACTTAAGTTTAATTACGTTTAAAAAGAAATGTTAGACAATGTGGAATCAGTGACTGTCAAGCACATCACTCACGCAGAATTATTTATTATCAAACTTTTTCTTCGTGTAAGAGCCGCAATTTTTATAGTGGATAATTTGAAACAAAAAATGAAACCTACTTTCCAGTCGTGGTATTAAATATAGCTTTAAAAGTCACTTATAGAATCATTCAAACGATTTTCATTTGGAATGGAAATAAACATTGATTTGTTTATAGTCATACTTCATACTACGCAATACTTCGGTATCAAATTTGTTAAGTTAGAAATATAAATACAAAATCTCAGTTAACTTACGTAAAATTACCTTTGTTTTAGAAATAAGACTTCATATACGACGATCGTGTGGACAAAATTATGTTTGCTTTAATTCTTTACATGTTACGTACCTAACAAAAGATGAGAAATTTAATATAAAAAACGCGACCACATACATATCAGTTAAAAAATGGTGATCATAATTAATTTATACCTTATTGAGACATCAACTTTTTATCCATAGGTGTTTTGTTACATAAACACATTTAAAGTGCTACTGAAGTGAAATTTTGGGTATCGATTTTTTTCTATAATCAAATAGTTCTATCTTTCCTGATCACTTTGGTATAATTTTTATGCATATTGAAGCACGGGATCATCAATAAATTTTTGCTCAAAGTTGGGTTACGCGTGCGAATTTTTACTACTGAAATATTATACGGATGTGACGTAATTAAAAGGACGGAAGTCGAAGTATGAGCATTGATTTACTAGTATTTTGTTAGATTTTTAACACATATACACAATAAAATATGAGTTCTTCAAGCAGTGAAAGCGAACGCAGTTCGGATACTGAAAACTCAGATATGGCAAATGAAAATTTACTTTCGAATTCCGGCGATGAGGATACAATTGTGGCTAATTCAGTTGTAAATCCTTACGAAAATGAACCTCTTCCGAACGCAGTCGGAGAGAATTTTGTGTCGGTCGAAGAAGACGCAGATGGATTAGAACCTCGAACATTGGAAGCGAGGTTCGAAGGAACCGTTCAGTTAGATAAGTGGTAAGTTGATAAATGTTATTAGAACTCTAGAAGAAATTAAACCATGAATTAAACATGTTATTTTGTCCTTATGTCGTGGTGCATAAATATGATAACAAACCACTTTTTTATAGGTGTGCATGTAGCTTGTGTCGTACTCAACTGCTGACAGATGCCATTGAATACCGTTGTTGTCAAGAGGTTGGGCCTACTTTACATAAACTGGTATTCGATGGTAGCATTGAAAAAATTAGCTGTGTGACTCTTCACGAAGAGTACACGATTATGACACATGCTACAGTCTTGAAGAATGTTGGCTCACTTCTAAGAGACCAAGATGGAAGGTCATACAAGCGTCGAGAATACATGAAAATGAGTTAGTACATTTTGATTTCTAATTTTGTTTTGTAACGAATGATTAATATCTTGCCATGTATCTCTACTTTTTACCTTTATGTGGTTCATTATTGTGCTGTGATGCTTCACAATTTTGTTGTGTGAAGTCAAAATAAATAATCAAATAGAAATTACTATTTTGAATTTCTCATAGATACTTGAGAGCAGTTGCATGCCGTTGGGTCATTCGATGGCTGTGTGGATGCCTTGGTTGGGAAAATTCTAGACCATTACCTGCATGTATCTACACAGACATCCGAAAACAATTTCCATTACGAAATCCCTTAGGCCAAGAACATGCTGGCTACAAGTCAGCACAGGAAAGAAACTGGTAGAAGTAGGAAACATTTTTTGTAGCATAGTATATTATTTTATAACTAACTTTAAAGTTGGCCTGCTAAGAATATTTGTCAAGTAATTCTTGTGGACAATGACTTTTTGGATGTCCTTCCATTAGCTGTCCACAATTTTTGCATAAGCACGTTTTTTTTGGATCTGAAGGACCTGTTGAAGCAGCTTGTTTTTCTTTGTCTAAACCTTTTGCTTGCAGTACATCTTGCTGTTGATCTATAAATAACAATTTAATGTGTTTACTTTTAGAATGCACTGGCCATACCTATTATACATGGTAGCATGAACAACTTACATGTGGGAAACAATGGTGTTGAAGATAGTTGTTTCCTATCCAAATGCCATTGGATTGCCTCAGTTTTGGAAATTCGATCCGAGAACGTTTTGTTTAAGGCTTCTGGGACTTTTTCTCTAACTGGTTCACTATCAACGCTTTCTGTCGTGTTACACTCGTCAGAATTCCTTCATCATCAGTATGTTTAACAGCGGGTTCAACATCTTTTACACTTCGTGTTACTTCACGCAACACCTGTTGAAGATAATAAGACACATTTACATGCATTTCCAGGTTGTGCATACAAACTTGTGTAATTTAACTTGTATAATTTTGTACTTACAACTCTGTCGAGATTGCTCTTATCACCTTGGATTGAAATGCCTTTTACAGAGTCTATGGTTGGAACAGCATCAGAGCGCAATTGTCGTCTCATGTTTAGCGATTTTGCAACTGTTGCGTTCACGGTGAATGCAGAATCTGCGAAATGCATTGAACATAGCACAGAGTACTGTTGAGGAACGAATTTTGGCCTATGTCTCCTAACAAATTTTGTCCATTTACTCAGCCTCTCCTTGTCATTCATGGGGAAACGATGTACTGAGACACCCTCTGTGTGTTGACTGTTTGTACAACTTTTTCCGTTGGGCCAACCAGCAACACAATATTGTCCTCCTCGACGATTTTTTGCAGAATTTTGCCTACTCGCCATATTTAAACTTGCAGTGTATCGTTACGTTTGACTAACTTAATAAAAAATTATTCTCCTTATATTATGTGCGTTGTGATAATATTGCATGGGTTTTAAAACCACAGACTACGTCAAGGATGGGACACCCAGTTTATTGAGAAATATAAGTTAATTCAAGAAGTTTATAAAACTCTAATCGATTGTAAATGTTGCTTACCTATGCGTGTTGCTCATTTGTCACTAAATATACGCAATTTTTGCGAAGAGAAGTTATAAAATATGTAAAATTCAAGTTGGAAATATGCTTGTTCGTATATAATTTTTATATACTAAGAGCTTTAAAATTGAACTTCCGTCCTTTAAATGACGTCACGCACTCAAAGTCAAATTCGCATCAAAACAAGCAAATATGCCATGTTTGAACGCAAAGTTCGATGCGTTCCCATCGACTAAATTCAGTGGGCGATAGCTCAAAATGATCAGTAAAATACAGAGAAAACGTTTGTATCGAAAAACGAAATATGAAAATTTCACTTCAGTAGCACTTTAAATTACGCACATGTATTTGTCATGGGAAGTTTAAAGCATTGAGTTGCTGAGGAAGACTTTCTTTCCAATCGTGGCAAAGAGGAAAATTTGTAATTTTATATTGTTGAATTTTTAGTATATATAGAGGCTGCAAACGCTGTTTCTGGTTGTTCCAATACGCATTTTTGATTGTCGTCTCTTATCGACGCATTTGATTAATGCATGGTAACGCATTGAGTTGAAGTCTTGAAGAGACGAATTGGATAAGCATTTTTTGATTTTAATACTCGTGGTAATGAACCAACGTTTGTCGTCAACAGAATCGTGATTTAGCATCCCGCACAACAGAACGCTTAGGTTGTGCGACAATGGCACTATAAATCTATAATTACCTATCAATGTGGCAATGTATAATTGATGCAAATCGTTCGTGGTTGATTTAAAAATAAAATATAGTCGTTTTGATTGATAAACAGATCATTTGTGTTTATAATGATGAAACGCAATTTGATATACTAAGTATAAATATATATTATCGTATTGTCCAATAGATGTAGCGCTATTTATCTTATAGTTTCGTTTCACGTTGATTTTTCTTTTCTCAGAAGTTAGAATCGTCTTATATACGGCATAATATGCTTTGTGTATCTACTGAAAATGTGGATGCACAGTCAATGAATCCAAGTGGACGAGTATTCTGCCATTTAGTCAAACCTTACAATACAACGAGTAGCTAAACAATACGGCTTTAAAATCAATGTTTTACACAATTTTACTCACCAAATATGACCAAAACGACTATTTCTTCTTTCCCACACTTATTATTTCGTTCCACAACGTAGAGTCACAGTTTCATATTGAAATATTTCTTCAATTTTGTCTTTCTTCGTATTGTAATGTAAACATCATTGAAATGCAAGGGATGGGCTCATCACGAGATCATTCTGATTCACTTCCGCACTTGTAACTGGATACAGCTGAAATGTAGACAATAATCATGTTCATTGTTCATATATAGTTCTCACTAGATTTATGTTTTTGACACAGACTTTTAAAATAAATTACCAATATGATTCCGAAAAATTATTAGAATAGAAAATAGGCCAAAATTTATGCAAATATTGATCCAAATGGCAATTTTTCGTCAAAGTTTGAGTTTCCAAACCAAAGATCAACAGCTATAGTCAGACAATAGTTGGTACTACTTGAGTCAGTCATTTTCAAATGAATAAAAGGATCATTAAAAAAATACATAAATTATGTTGAATATCTTTGTGGCTTTAACCGTTTTGTGCTCATAAAAATTGTAAAAACTGAAAAACAGCAAAAGAAATGAGCAACAGACAGTTTTTCTTGCAACGTGACCTGCTTGTCGTAATATTTATCAATTTATCAATAATAATATGGACGATGTAAAACTTATCAGTATAAAATAGTATACGGGAAGAAATTTTCATAAATAATAAAAACAACTGAAGTATCTTTTTCTTTCTGTAAGCATGAACATTACTAAAGAAGTAAGAGCATTGTAAAATGGGAACTTTTTGCGTTAAATTACGCACATGCATTTGTCATGGGAAGTTTAAAGCATTGAGTTGCTGAGGAAGACCTTCTTTCCAATCGTGGTAAAGAGGAAACTTTGTAATTTTATATTGTTAAATGTTTAGTATATACAGAGGCTGCAAACGCTGTTTCCGGTTGTTTCAATACGCTTTTTTGATGGTCGCATTTTATCGACGCATTTGATTAATGCATTGTAACGCATTGAGTTGAAGTCTTGAAAAGACGAATAGGATAAGCATTTTTTGATTTTAATACTCGTGGTAATTAACCAATGTTTGTCGTCAAAAGAATCGTGATTTAGCATCCCGCACAACAGAACGCTTAGGTTGTGCGACAATGGCACTATAAATCTATAATTACCTATCAATGTGGTAATGTATAATTGATGCAAATCGTTCGTGGTTGATTTAAATATAAAAATATAGTCGTTTTTATAGATAAACAGATCATTTGTGTTTATATGATGAAACGCAATTTGATATACTAAGTATAAATATATATTATCGTATTGTCCAATAGATGTAGCGCTATTTATCTTATAGCTTCGTTTCACGTTGATTTTTTTTTCTCAGAAGTTAGAATCGTCTTATATACGGCATAATATCATCTGTGTATCTACTGAAAATCTGGATGCACAGTCAATGAATCCAAGTGGACGAGTATTCTGTCATTTAGTCAAACCTTACAATACGAGTAGCTAAACAATACGGCTTTAAAATCAATGTTTTACACAATTTTACTCACCAAATATGACCAAAGCGACTATTTCTTCATTCCCACACTTATTTTTTCGTTCCACAACGTAGAGTCACTGTTTTATATTGAAATATTTCTTCAATTTTGCCTTTCTTCGTATTGTAATGTAAACATCATTGAAATGCAAGGGATGGGCTTATCACGAGATCATTCTGATTCACTTCCGCACTTGTAACGGGATACAGCTGAAGAGCAGACAATAATCATGTTCATTGTTCACATATAGTTCTCACCAGATTTATATTTTTACAGAGATGTTACATGATAGCAACTACTATCATGTAATATCATTTTTATATCATATTATAATTTCATATATAATTAATTAGAACGTTATCTAGAAGCTTGCTTGCATGCGCTAGAAGCTTGCTTACATGCGTAAACACTTTAGAACCGCAACCGCATTTGTTGTTATTGTGGTTAACTATATCTTGCTGTAACATACTGTATTGCGTATGGGATGCAGGTCACAAAACCACAATACTTCCGATTAGATATATATATATCAGCAGTTTAGACCACTGAGTACAACCTACGAGGACAGTCATCAGATTTATGTTTTTGCAGAGACTTTACAAATAAATTACCAGAGAAGAGATCAGTTGCACGAGGCTGAATAACGCTATCCATTGAACATATCTTAAAAGGGAAAATATCTTAAAAGGGAAAAATCAACGATTCGAACTGGACAATAAATGAAATACAATATTGGTTCTAGAATTACAAAGTTTCATCATCATAAACAAAATATAACCATGCACATTCACAAATTTAAAAAACTACTATCCAATGGATAACGCTATCCACGCTTCGTGCAACAGGCTCCAGTATAAATTTAAAAAAAAATTTGAAGACAATAAAGGCCAAAAATTGTCCAAATGGAAATGGCCAAACTGTTTTTCTGAAATTCCAGGGTCAAAGATCAAGAGATGTATTGATGTAATAGGTACTAAGCACCGATCGGCATAACAGACCTTCAATTTCTTATTGTCGTATTGTAAAGAATCTACGAAAAATTGACAATACTTTTAGATTCAATAGATGATTAACTTCATTAAACTTCTTGAAAAATATGGGTATGTCATATATGGGTACCTCATACGGTTTTGATACAAGGTTGGATACTCTTTACTGTGATGATTTATTAAGTAAATTATAATAACTTCATAAAATAGAAAGTTTGATAAAGGCTTTGAAAATTAAATTAATGTCCTGTTTTAATAAAACATCAAATTGTCTTCCTAGAATATTTTTTCTTATATTTATATAACAAATAGCTCTTTCCTTTGAAAGAGACATCGTTCCTGCAAGTTCAATATAGTACGAGAATATTTTTTGTGAACTCTATGTTATATCTGGTGTAGGTGACGTAATATTAAAAATAATAAAAAATTAGACTAAAAATGTAAAAAACATATGTCATTACCCTCTTTAAATTCCTCAAGGATACATCATTTCCCTCATTAAATACTTTAACAGTTTGACATTACTTTTTATAAATATCTTTATAATTTGTATTTGAACGTTTACATCAGTATTTATACCAGTAAAGCAAGTACAAATAGTCTCGATAATTCTGTCAACTAAACGCCTCTCTGGTTTAATGGAGTCTGGTGTATCGCCAACAATATGACCATAAGCAATGAGTTTCTAAGAACAAAGAATATAAAATATAGAACTTTATATAAGATGAATACATGACCTACATAGACATATGGAGGGATAAAGGATTCTGGTGAAAAGACACATGAAACTTGGAGGATTGTATATGAGTAAGTACTGTGGATAGATAAGGATAGCAATAATGACAAATTTTTTGAAGTATGGATCCTCTAGATTATTCTGGGAGGAATTTAGGATGAAACTAACAACAAAATATTCTGTAGCATCTTTATTTTGTGCTATCCAATTGTAAAGGCTTAGAGACAACGCAATGACAATGTTTCCGAGATTAAATCTTTTTCTTACAACTAAAGACTCCAAGTGTCCTAACACATCAAACAAAAACAACTTACTTGTATACATTCAAGTGCAATGGTGACAATCCTGGCACATTTTGTTTAACAAACTTTCTCATTGATTAAATTTATTCCTAACAACTAAAGATGCCAAGTGTCTTTTCTGTAGATTAAATATTCTGTGCTTCAGCTAAGAACTTTGTTATGCTACCAAGGGGAACTCTGATATAACAACATTACAAAAAAGCTATTTATCTCAGTATTACCTACAATGACCGTAATTACAACTGACCTGTAATTCAGCCATAGTATCTTCATCTTCTCGCTTGCTGGTGCTTGGGAAAAAGACGACATTGTCGATTATTTGGATAAGTTCCAATTGAACGACACACTTAATGATCAATGAATTGAACAGCATCCCCTCCGTCTGCACAACTAAAATAATGTAATGATTTTACGACGTTAAAGTACATACATGAAAAAATTAAAAAATGTCACTCGGGTGTTGGTTGAACATTTCCGTATTCACGCTCAGACGGTTTTTTCATTTGTCGGTAAAAATCGAACTTTTGAATGTGCAAAACAAAGGACTAATTTATCTTATTAGAGGTCTTCCAAAATAAAATAAAATAAATTAAGCAACGAATGCAAAAAATAAAACAAAAATAAGTTCCTTAAATTAGTGCTATTTTTTTGAAAAATAAGTTTAACGAGAGAAGTAGTGATAATTACTAATTAGTAACATTATTAGTTCTATTAGTAACAATTAACAACATTATTGTTTCAAAAATTGCAAATTTTTAGAACATAAGCAGTTTCAGGAAATGTTACATGACGTCGCTGTTCACTTCAGATTGAGTTTTTCAAACGCATATATCAATTATACGTTTTGCTATGCCTTTCCAATAAACCAAAGTAAATTAAACACGTAAATTGCAGCAGGCTGTGACAACAAATTATTAATCTCAATTGATTTCTAACACATAGTTACCTGGTTCGTGTTCTTTGACAGGTTCAAATCGTAAACTAGGCGTACTATGTAAACTAATGCTGTCTTGTTCTTTGGTTTCTTAAACTGTTTCTTGAGGCATTTCCTCCTGCGTTTCATTCAAACCTTTTGATGATTGCTGACCATCTTGTTCGTCCTCGTCTAAAAAATAATAAGGAAAATATTCACTTGTTACTCAAAGAATGCAAGCTGTTGGTTCATACGAGTTAAAGATTCACACGAGCTATATTACAATATGCGAACTTTTGCTTCATATGAGCTTTTGGTTCAAATGAGCTTTTTAATATGCGAGCTTTAGCTTACCATGAAATATTTTCCAATCTTATAATCATGGTGACAATTGAAGCAAAAATTTTCCTTTAAAAGAATTCACAAACTTTTTATTTACCTTCCGGATATTTGGGCACAATATTATCCTCCAGGTCGACAGGTGACATTATGTACAATATACGTCAATTTTAAGGGTAATAAATACATAAAACAAACAGAATTGTTATGAAAATGTGTCTATAATTATAGAGTGTCGGGCTTTAAAACTTCATAGAAAATACTAAGGGGCGGATTACATGAGCCCGGGTAGCCGGGATTCAGCGAAGCGTTAAATCATTTTGGCAAATGGAAACGATTCAATACTTATCATCAGATAAATTTTCTCAAGCAATTTCACAATATTCTGATTTAATAAGTACGCAAAACATTTAAAATTAAAGCAACCAATTTGCCATAATTTGAGAATTACATCCGGAATGACGTGTGGCGCTTCGCAGACAGTTGTAATTTTTAACCTTGAAGTTTTAGCTCTTTTCAATCCCTTGAAATCATCTGGCTAGCTCAATATCCGGGCCAACTCGTCTCCATATAATCAGGCCCTAAGTGTAACTTAACTTGAGTGGTGATGACGCAGGAGTGACATCGGGTGTAGGTAGACTCATTACTTGTTGGTCAGCGGGTCTCCATTTCAATAGTTCGTGAGGTACAGTTGATTCAAATATCGTCTTTACACATTGACATGTCTTTTCTCAGACGTTTTCGGAGAACGTGTTGCCATTGGATATGACGAGATTTTCCAAACAATTGGTACCAGACCTCGCTAACTGCTCGTTATCTGAAGACATGTATTGAATGAACGAGCAAAGCAGGACATGGTGTTACAAAGCATTTACAGTCGAACCTGTAAGAAACTCTGACACTTCTTGTATACTAATGTACCTCAAAACAAACCAATAACAAACTCTCATAGTTCAAGCCAATCACAAACTCTCATACTTCAAACCAATCACACACTCTCATAGTTTACACCAACCCAAACTCTCCAACTTCAAACCAATCACAAACTCTCAAACTTCAAACCAATCACAAACTCTAATACTTCAAACCAATCACAAACTCTCATAGTTTAAACCAATCACACACTCTCATAGTTCAAACCAATCACAAACTATCATACTTTAAACCAATCACTAACTCTCATACTTCAAGCCAATGACAAACTCTGACACAACGAACCAATCACCAAGGCATATGCCAAGCACAAACACGTTGCGTAATCTCAAGCTTACCTTGTTTGACACACCACTCTAGATGGCCATACATATCATCAAGAAGAATTTCAGCAAGAATATCAAAATACTGAGTAAAAACATCGATGATAGCATATAGAGCGTGATTACAAGTTGTTGTCATCCATTCTGATTTCTATAAAGAGACATCACAAATTTCAAAACAATCTCAGCTCATGTCTCATTTTATAACGAGGAAATACAACACCTTATACACAGACATTATTCTATGTAAAGGAAACGATCTTCCCGCAGTTTAACACTACTCCTTCCTGATTTAAAGGCAAAAGCATTCTTTACAGGTGGGTAACTTTCACAAACGAGTATTTCGAACCTTCCATACTGGTACAAATCGTTTACACAAAATGCAATTGGTGTGTGAATAAGGAATGCAAGTGGATAAGAATGGATAGAGAATGAAGTGAATACGAGTAGATATACAGAATGAAGTGACTCTACAATAAAAGTGGATAGAAGTGAATAAGAAATATAGAAAGATATGAGGGGATCATTGAACTAAAATACATGGAACGCTACATGAAGCAAACAACTGAAGCCAAATCTTACACCCAGACACGCGTGTTTAGTGTTTCGAGATTCTCTCGCGGAGTGAAAATTGATTGAACTACACACGCGTGTCTGGGGGTAAAATTGGGCTTCAAAAAATTACTACGGTTTTCTATTACAGGTAGCGTTCCATGTATTTTAGTTCAATGGAGTGGATACACAATGGAAATGGATGAGTGAATGAGGAATGAGAGTGGATAGACGTGAACACATGAAATGAATATTATTCCATGTGGAATTGGATAGTCGTGTATGTAAGTTGACTTTTTGCGATAAAATGCGTGTTTATGGCAATCATAGACAATAAGACCACAATAACGACATATTATAAACCACGTGTTTTGCACCGTGGTCGATTACGGCAGAATAATGGACCGGCAAAAATGTTTCTGAGCCAATCAAAGCGCGCCATTTAGCCGGAAGTGAGGCTTGACATATAATAAGAGCACAATAATAACAGTTTTCTAACCTCCTGCCAATCTATCTGTCTGTCTGGTAGTTTCATGTTGTCGAAAATTCGAAACACGACTTTAAACACATCACGCCACCAATGTTGGAGAACCGTGTTCCCGTATGTTTTCATGATTTCAAACGTCACGGTTAGGCCTCTAGTTGATGGATGGAAAATAGCTCACATTCAAATAATACAATACATACTAATCTATACAGTACATACAACTCAACATTTCCACCATACCTTGTTCTGACATCTAGTTTACATCGGTTGATGATACACGAAAGCTCAAAAAGGACTGGAAACCAGCCTTTCGCCCAGATTCTGTCCCGCTCTGATATCCCAGCATCCTCTACTCCGTAGTCTTTAAACATCTGTTTATAAAAGAAAAAAAAACAGACGCCATTGGAAAATGCTACACGAAAAAGCGATTGAAATAGATGATTTGGGTTGGATTAAATCCAAAGTGGTTAGCTTTTATGTGATTTGCAAAATTTTAAATCATTTCAAAGGTGAAAAGAAAGTAGATTTGCAATCGTCGTACCACAGGACTTTCGGAAAAAAATTTGGCGCAATTTCGTATTAGTCTTATTGCTTCCATTGATCATCGATGTAGAATAATAAATTTAATGAGGGGGGAAGGTTCTAGCATATCAAAAAGCTTACAACCACAATATAGGATATTATTGATGTCATGAATATTTAAGTAAAACGACCATTTTGTCCCTTATAAAAATACTCCTCCCCAGTCCCCATTGCCACTCCAATAACCACAACATAGGATATTAATGACGTTATGAGTACTTAAGTAACACGATCATTCTGTCCATAGCATTGAAATAAAATACATGGAACGCTACCTGTAATACAAAACCCTAATAATTTTTTGAAGCCGTGATTTTACCCACGACACGCGAGACTTTACCCCAGACACGCGTGTGTAGTCAATCAATTATTACTCCCCGAGAGAAGCTCGAAACACTAAACACGCGTGTCTCGAGTAAAATCTCGCGGGTCTGGCGTAAGATATGGCTTCAATTATTTGCTTGAGGTAGCGTTCACGTATTTTAGTTTATTTGTCCATAGTAAAGCAACTCCTCCCCAGTCCCCACTCACCCCTCAATACAAGATCATGCACGGATCCAATGCTGTATGACATCATTCATTACGAATAAAACTTACCAGAATTAATGTTGTGTTTGATGGTTTCCGTGAAGCCAGTTTGAGGTTGATCCTAAAGTTGAGTGATTTTAAAATTTAGTGTAGACAAAAAACATTGATTTAAGAAAAAGTAAGAAAGTGTTTGTTACATGAGCAAAATCTGTCGTTTGTAAAACATAGAATTTGTTCACCGGTAATGAGAACAACTGCTTGAACAATGATTTTATTGTCTAACAAAATTGTTAACAATGCTTCCATTGTTTGTCAAAATTGTACAATCTTGCGTTGAGTCTAATCATGCAAAGATGCCAACTGAGCTATGAAGTGTGTTATTCACAGTGGTGAGCAGGTCAATTTTGTTGGGCTCATGTTTTCTCATGAAAGGAATGTCATATGAAAGAATGAGATGTTTTTCGTGTTTGCACAGGCTTATGCAAACCTCGGAGACGTTTGTGAGAACTCTCGAGCTTGTGCAACCCTCAACCTTTGGTCTCAGGCTTGCACTGATCTGTTCTCAAAGGTCTACTTGGTTTGCATAAGCCTGTGCAAACACAGTAAACATCTTTTATTTCTTAAATGAAACATAAACCAACTTACGTTTGGAAAGGGAAATGCAAAGGACACATACACTTTCATATCGTCTTTGTTGTAACCTTGAAGTATATTGAAATTTTTTTAAAATTGATTTTTAAGGTTTATAGATGTATGTATCAGATCAAACATCCATTGTTTGACCTGACACTTATTAATCCTCTAGACACCTTATTAATCCTCTAAACACCTTTTTAATCCACTATATTTTATCCTAAATCCTAAGCACAAAGATTTTAATCCAATTCAACAATAATGAAGAAAAGACAAATTTACATGAAGGAAGTGAAATATTGATGCATTTGACGATTCTTAATTCACAATCCTGGTCACCCAAATCTGTATTCAATCTGTCAGGTTGAAAACAAAATAAACATAAAATAATTATGTTAGTGTTTGTTAGCTAAACTGTCAGGTTGAGAATAAAATAAACATAAAATAATTATGTTGGTGTTCGTTGCTAAACTGTCAGGTTGAAAATAAAATAAACATAAAATAATTATGTTAGTGTTCGTTGGCTAAACTGTCAGGTTGAAAATAAAATAAACATAAAATAATTATGTTGGTGTTCGTTGCTAAACTGTCAGGTTGAGAATAAAATAAACATAAAATAATTATGTTAGTGTTTATTAGCTAAACTGTCAGGTTGAAAATAAAATAAACATAAAATAATTATGTTAGTGTTCGTTGGCTAAACTGTCAGGTTGAAAATAAAATAAACATAAAATAATTATGTTAGTGTTCGTTGGCTAAACTGTCCGGTTGAGAATAAATAAACATAAAATAATTATGTTGGTGTTCGTTGGCTAAACTGTCAGGTTGAAAACAAAATAAACATAAAACAGTAGCGTAGTCAGTCTTCGAATTTAGTCACTCTAACCAAATGTTAGAACATTATTATTTGTGAACTTAATGTTGGGGTGTTGATGGTTTAAGTAGGTAAGAAAGAGTTGCACAGGGTTTAGATAGGTGAGAAAGAGTTGCACAGGGTTTAGATAGGTGAGAAAGGGTTGCACAGGGTTTAGATAGGTGAGAAAGGGTTACAAAAAGTAGCATGACTTGACTCGCGGGTGTCGAATGGCGAGTGGGCGAGTGACTCGCGATGTAGTTGCGAGTCACTCGAGAGTGACGAGTTGCGATTGAGTGAGTGACACGCGATGCAGTTGCGAGTTACTCTCGAATGTGAGAAGTTTGCTAGTGAATCGAAATAACTCGCAAATATTTCTTTCTCCAGTATTTGAAATTGACAAACATAATCTTAAGTGTAGTGACAAGAGTAATATCTCTGCTAGTTATAAGTCTACGTTTATTGTGCTATCTCTCAGCTTACACGTTGTGCTCTCTACATGTGCTAATAATAATGAGGTTATGCCTCAGTGAATGTCAATCATATATATATAACAAAGCGGAAGTTTATAGCGCTAATTATGTGCATATATTACATCCCTCTTTTCTTTAATTCAAAATAGTTTAAGTTTAAGTGTTCAGGTGCTATAGATAACACGTTTATATTTCAAGTCTTGTAAATTGGATTTGGGTTGATTCGTCTACCATAACGACTTGTTTTCACTTGGTGATTTGTATCAGTTTGTGTAGGATTTGAGACGTTGTCTTTTTCTGTACTGGCTTCTTGTTGTTGTGGAGTCAGAACTTGAGCTCCGTCAATATCCGTGGTGTTGTAATCAGATATTTCTTCATTTTTCTTTCTTAGATGTCTGCGATTCCGTCTGTATTCTGTCCCGTTTTCCCCTTTTACTATGTAGCTTCTGGGTGCTTCATGTTTTCGTGTTACCGTTCCGCGAGTCCATGGTGCTGCAGGATCTTAACGAAATCGAACAATTTCTCCTTCTTCCAGTGGTGCCAAAGACTTGGCTGTGCGGTCATAGTGTTTTCTTTGCCGTTCTTGCTGTTGTTGACGTGCTGCTTTAAACGTAGTTCGGTTGATGAGCTTTGGATTAAGTTTTCTTTGAGAGGTGGGAATGGTTGAACGAAGTCGTCTGCTCATTAGTGCTTGCGCCGGAGTTACACCGTCAATAGGGGTATTACGATAATCTAACAACGCGAGGTATGGATCTTCGCCGTTAGCTTTGCATTTCTTTAGAATATTCTTCATTGTTTGGACTGTCTTCTCATGTAATCCACCAGACTGTGGATATCTCGGACTTATGGTGTTGTGACAAAAGTTATAGTCTTTTGCAAACTGTCTGTATTCTTCCGACGAGTATTGTGGGCCATTGTCGGACACTACAGTTTCTGGGATTCCATGACGACTGAATATGGACTTTGTCTTGTTAATAACTGTTTGTGCTTTTGTGTCTCGAAGTTCAGCTACTTCGGGATACCGGCTGTAATAATCAACAACTATTAGATGTGGTTTCCCATTCCAATCAAAAAGGTCAGAGCCAATTTTTTGCCAGGGTCGACTGGGAATATCGTGTGGATGGAGTGGCTCTCGTTGATTGGTATTTGCGTAGTACTGACATGTTGAGCAGTTTGACACTAGTTCTTCTATTTGTGCGTTCATACCTGGCCAGAATATGCTCTCTCTAGCCAGTCTCTTGGTCTTCTCAGTACCTTGATGCGATTGATGCAGTTTCTGGAGTGTTTCAGCTTGCAATGTTGGTGGAATCAGGATGTTGTGGCTCTTGTAGATAAGACCATCTTCCGTTGTCAGTCTTCACGGTATGGATAATAAGGTTTTAATTCAGTTGGTATCAATATCTTATGAGGCGGCCATCCGTCTTGTATCTGTTGTACCAAGAGTTGCATAGTCTTGTCTTTGCTGATTTCATCTTTGACGGCTTGAAGTTTCCGGTCTGTGACGTAAGACTTTGATGACATCAGATGGATAAATCTTTCTGACGCGATGTCTTCTTCAAATTGTTCATGTATAATCTCGGGAGGAAATGCACGCGAGAGCGCATCAGCTATGTACATTTCGCTTCCTTTCTTGTACACCAAATTGATATCGTAGGATTGCAGCTGCATCAACATTTTCTGGAGTCGACTGGGTGCTTGAGATAGTGGTTTTTTGAATATCATTTCCAGGGGTTTATGGTCGCTTTCAACGGTTATGGTTTTACCCTAGACATATTGATGGAAGCGTTTACAGGCAAAGACGACAGCTAGCAGCTCCTTCTCAATCTGCGCGTAACGTCGTTGTGTGTCATTCATGGCTTTTGATGCGTAAGCTACTGGACCCTGGTCTTGAATTAAAGCAGCTCCAAGGCCATTCTGTGAAGCGTCGACTTGGAGTATCACTGGTTTTGCTACATCGTAATAACGGAGAGTATTAGGATGAGTTAGTAAATGTTGTAGATCTTGAAATGCTTTCTCATGTGTTTCATGCCAGTGGAATTCAATGTTCTTCTTTATAAGTTCTCTCAGTGGAGCGGTGACGTCCGAAACATTTGGTGCAAACTTGGCGATGAAATTAACCATGCCCAACAACCGTTGGACGTCCTGCTTGTTTTCTGGTTTGGGGTAGTTCTTGATTGCTTCAACCTTGCTCTCATCAGGTTTGACACCATACGCTGTTAACGTTTCTCCAAGGTATGTTATCTCGGTTTGCCGAAACTGGCACTTATCCTTGCTTAGTGTCATATTGACGTCTGCTACACGATTGAGAACACGCTCCAGGTTGCGATCGTGTTCCTCCAGTGTCCGTCCCCAGATTAGTATATCGTCGATATCTGTTTCGCATCCCGGTAAATGCTGGAACTTCTCGTGTACTGTTTTATGAAACACCTCTTGTGCGAACACTACTCCAAAGGGTATTACAGTAAAACGATATCTACCAAATGGCGTATTAAACGTCGTCAGGTAAGAGCTCTCCTCGTCAAGAGGCATTTGCCAAAATCCCGAGTTTGCATCCAGTTTGCTGAAGAATTTGGCATTGGTCAAACGGCTGGTAATCTCTTGCTGGGTGGGAAGCTGGTAATGTTCTCTGAGCAAAGCTTTGTTGAGGTCACGTGGATCGATGCAAATGCGTAACTTTCCAGAGCGTTTTTCATTAACTACCATCGAGTTGACCCATGCTGTCGGCTCATTCACTTTCTTAATTATTCCTTTGGATTCCATATCCGTTAGCTCGTTGTGGACACGTTCTCTCAGTGCTGAAGGTATCTTACGAGGAGGATGAACGACAGGTGTTGCATTAGGCTTGATCTTGATATGATAAGGATCTGATATGCGTCCTAATCCGTCAAAGCATTTTGAGTATTTTTCAAATATTTGTTCTCTGGAAAGTCCTGTCAGTGAACTTACGTGTGTAGCCCCGTCGTTCTGTTTACTGCGCAATTGATCTACATTGTGGAATGTTACGAGCTTCATACTTTTGCAGTTGGCGCATCCAAGCAATGATTTACCATTTTCAACCACTTGAAACTCGAGTACTTGCGTTGTTCCTTTGTATTGGCATTTTAAATAGCATTTCCCTATGACTGGAATATTGTGACCTCCGAAAGCAGTCAATTTTGCTGTGCTGAGCTTCAATTTACTAAAACGTTGCCGCTTTGGAATAATAGTTTCATAATCTTTCTTACTCAGAACGTTTGTTTCTGCCCCAGAGTCAAGTTTCACTCGGATTGTCTTGTTGTTTATTTTTAGATATGCGTGTTCCTCATCACTGTCACTTGTGACAGCTGTCTTAACCATATCTATTCCGTGCGCTGAAGAGTCGCTTTCATAATCGACGTCGTGTATCGATTTCTTGTTGTTTTTTGTTTGTGATCGGCAGTACTTAGCGAAGTGTCCCAATTTCTGACAATTATTACATTTTTTCCCATATGCCGGACATGATTTCGGCTCGTGAATTCGACCGCAATTGCCGCATTTCTTTGGAGATCTTCCGTTTTCCGGTTTGTTGTTTTTGCTTTTTTGGTTGTGAAATTTCCCTTTATAACCATGTTTTAGCTGATCATTCCCCAATGTGTCGACATTGGCAGAATTCTGGTCGTTTAGAGATTTCATTTGCTCGCGAGATACTTCAGACGCTCGACATATATCTACAGCTTTCGGCAGTGTTAAATCCGACTCTCGAAGTAAGCGTTCTTTGATATTTTGGTTTCGTATTCCACATACTATTCGATCGCGAATAAGCCCGTCATGAAGTGCTTCAAACTCACATGTTGCGGCGAGAGTGCGTAGAACAGTCACATACTGGTCGATGCTTTCGTTGTCTTCTTGATTTCGTATGTTGAATTTATGTCTTTCATACGTTATGTTCTTTCTTGGGTTGCAGTAGGTTTTAAACGCGGATTTTAACTCACTCGTTGTTCTCAACCACGTTATTTCTCCCTCAGCATTGGTCTCTGTTTCTGGCGTTGCGAATGTTAAGGTTTTATATACTTCTCTGCCCCTTTCTCCTACACACAAATGAAAGTAGGAACATCTTTCCTCTTCAGAGCGTCCTTTAAGTTCGGTCTTCTCGAACAGCGTCCAGTGCTCCTCAAACTTACGAAAGTTTTCGCTAACGTTCCCGTCTAATTTCAGAGGTTTGGGGGCTGCCCATTGAAGGTTACTTGATGCCATGTTAATTGCTTTTATGGTATCCCGCTTCTGACACCATGTAATATCTCTGCTAGTTATAAGTCTACGTTTATTGTGCTATCTCTCAGCTTACACGTTGTGCTCTCTACATGTGCTAATAATAATGAGGTTATGCCTCAGTGAATGTCAATCATATATATATAACAAAGCGGAAGTTTATAGCGCTAATTATGTGCATATATTACAACAAGTAAAATTCGTTCAACATTTTGAAGGCAACGGTTTAATATCTTTTTATGAAACATGGGAGCAAAACGACTATTCATTTGAAGCAATATCTCGGGACCTAATGACGTTAAAATCTTTTGAATTTTTTACAAAAGCATTTTAATCACTTCACATTTTTCATGGCACAAACATCATTCGTAAAGCGGTAGAGACCATAGAGAAATGTAAAGTAAATGTCAGGCAATCAATGAGTAAATGGAAATAGCGCTCAAACATTTTCTTCTAACAGTCTTAGATTATGGACACATATAATCTTAGGAAAGAATGCATAAAAAAACGAATATTCTTTAAAGCCAAATATTTAAGAAATGTAGATATGCGATGAGTGTACGTATAATCTTTCGATTTCGGTTCTGAAAGAACTTCATTGACCTGGAGTTTTGGATGTAGTCGCTATTGATATAAAGGCCATAGACATTTAATAGCAAGAACGATATAAGACCACGTGTATAGTAAATGGCTAGAACTTTTGCGATTCACTTGCCTGTAGAAATGTTTCAAATATGAGATTGGTTTCTGAAACAATTTCATTGACTTCACGTCGACAAAAATGAATGAAATGGTGTGATTTTACTTGTCACTACACTTAAGATTATGTTTGTCAATTTCAAATAGTGGAGAAAGAAATTTTTGCGAGTTATTTCGATTCACTCGCAAACAGCGAGTCACTTATTCACTCGCAAACTTCTCACATTCGAGAGTGACTGGCAATTGACTCGCCATTCGATACTCACGAGTCAAGTCATGTTACTCGAGGTCTGTACTGTAGGGTTTAAATAAATAGGTGAGAAAGGATTACACAGGGCTTAGATAGGTGAGGAAGGGTTACACAGGGTTTAAGTAGGTGAGAAAGCGTTGCAAACCATCACCATGACTCTTCAACTTCTTCCTCACCAGTGTGCGAATTAACGATGTGCAATGTGCAATTTGCACATCGTTTTAGGTAAAATGAAAACAATTGCACATCACTTTTTTCAAACGATGTGCAAAAATCAGCAGTTTTAACGAAAAACACTGTCGCAAATCATATGAATTTGTTCACGTTTAAAAATATTAGTTTAGCAATTAGCGCTATATAATAATTAACGTAATATCGATTTGATTATGCCTCTAAAGAAACACTATTGTCAAAAAAATTGCACATCGTTTTTTCTGAACTATTAAATTCGCACACTGTTTCTTACCCTAACAAATCTCTCACGTTAAGTATTATCAAAACCCTATTTATCCTAACTCCACCCCACAGTGTCCAACACTGAAAGAAATTACGCCAAATTATGAAATCTCAATTGACATTAAGAGCAGAATGTAAAACGCTATTTCTAGTTCGAAATTTATTCAAAATCCACTCAAATTAAAAGAAAAGAGAAAATACATTCACTCAATGGTTTTTAAAGATTAAAATAAACACAGTAAGATAATAATCACCTGACGTTATGAAATGTTCTGTTTTCATAATGATAACGTGGAGGAGGATTACCATGTTTGAAAGAACTTTGTAAAGAATCGTAATCATGTCGACAGTTTATCTCCAATTTCTCAAACCTTAAATAAAAGTAGAAATAAGTACAAAATATCTCAAATGTTTTGAAGGGTTCTACTTTGTTGTGATTGTAAGCTCCCCCTCATTCCGTAAACACTGACCCCCCCCCGAAAAAAAAGAAACCCACAGGCAGAAACAAATTGAGATGGGTCAAAAGGACTGGGTCTAGTTATGTCATGATTATGTGCACGCCCCAGGGTGGCAGCAATAACATGAAAAAAATGAGCAACTAAAAACATTACTTTGGACTAATCCATAATGACATTACACAATTGACATTCACACACAGACAAATTTCCTATACACACAATATATGATGACATATGAACCTGACAACAAATACGGAAAACCTGACTTTTACTCCTCACTTTATTCTGGAGATGACTACCACTAAGAATTACAAAACATCAATTAACATCAACAACAACAATCCTTCTCATGACTGCACAAATCTGAATGATCTACATCTACAAACATGTAACAATACTCCCAGGTTTAAATCATTTACTTTATTATAACCAAACTATTATATATTAGTACAGACCAGTGGCTACTGATATGAATTTTAAATTTTACATGTCAAATTACAACAGATGAATAAACTATATATTTAGAGTTTTAATATCTGAGAATGCAGACAAGAAAATGTTTTTAAATGCACTTCATTATTAAATAATGCATTGATAATATGTACAGTAAAATACAGATTTGTGTTTGTATTCATGTCTTTTAGTATTTTCCAGTGATTTATCACTCATGACATAAGTTTAAAACTATGTCTACATCAATGGAATGAAATTTGAAACCATATCCATATCAAAAAAGGTTTCCAAAGAAATAAATGATCATAAAGTTCCGAAATTTTCATACCGTGACTAAACTTGAGAACTGACTACGCTACTTAACACAATCGCTTTTATAGAAAATTGATTGATGGTATTTCAAATATTAGTTGTTTATATAAATACCTTAGTAGAAGCTTTCAAACTTTGGAAGTACTTGTCTTCTTTGGCATAAGAGAAAACTTCAAGCAAAGTACAAATGATTAAATATGGTTTATTACATTGAAACAAGAAGGAAAAGTTTCTCCCTCAAATAAAAATGCAAATAACAAACTGGAAACCATTGAGTTCTATAATAACTCAATGGTTTTATAGAGCTCAATGCTAGAAACAGGAAACATCGAGTTGAGTACGTCATGTAAGAACACATATAATATCTTTTAACAAAAGCTCCATTGATGAGGTTAAGGCTTCTCTGCACTAGGTTAAATTAATTTCTCATTTGACATTTCCGTTTTTTGCTAAGTACTTTCAGCAATACATGCTTGTTAAGTTGTAAAGGTTACAAACTTTGGTATCTTTGGTTAAAATGGTTGAACGAGCATGTTGATTCAGTTTCAAATAACGTCGTAGTTTAAAACTTTTTCCAATCTGACTCCGGTTACTTGGTGTCTCTTGCTTTTCTGTTGATCGTATAAGTTTTTATGCTTCGCGCAATTACTTAGCGACATTTTTTTCTCTTATAAATTCAATGAACGCTTTTAAAATAGACTATTGTGTTGGAATTTTTCTTTAGAAACTGAAATATTTTAGTATGCATTTCAAAAACAATAACGAGTGAAAACCAACTATTTACTTGCAGCACTTGGCCTCTTATATCGACAACAAAAAATTGAAAGATTTAATCACAAAATCCTAGTTTAAACATGATTTTTTTATTTATCTTCAAATTGTAAAAATAGACCACCGTGATCCTTCATAATAACCTCATACTCATGCAAACTAAACTTAAAACTTGTCAACTCTAATTACGAATTTAAAACCTGGATCATGTTTCTCCATTCTCCTCGTTTGTATTTGCCTTTTTTCAATATTTGTAGAATGTAGTCAGTTTTCATAGTCCAACATAAATGTTCATACATGTTATACAATGTTCTTTTAATAACTTTTTATCATTCCATTTATGGTGTAACCTCAATATTTAAACAATACAGTACAGACGTCATGGACATCCTTTCTAAACATATTTCTCACTCTAAATTTAACACTTTTAGTCGCGAATAGTAAAACCCTTTACATTACGAAGATTTTAACAAGACCTGTTAATTTCTTCCATAAATTTCTTACTTCACCTGTTCGCCAGTAAATACACAGTACTTACATTTCCTCTTTATAAAGTTAAAGTGACTTGACTGACGTTAAAGTAAACACATACGAATTTAAATATTTTAAAACTTCTGAAATTGACGTCATGATAAAATTTTTTATTTTTATCAACTCGTGGTGCATATGACCTTTCAAACATACAAGAATTAATCCTCTAACGTCTTTGAACAAAATTTTTACGCCCGTTTCAAACATCGAACTTTATATTTGTGAACTAAAATAAGGCCCTGTTTACTGTATAAAGTTGCTATCGCTGCAGGTTAAATTTTCTATGTATTAAAAGTCAGTGATATCGTTAAATGCAAAGAACACAATTAAATTGACTAAAATTTATCAATTTAATAAGCATTTACTCCAAACTGTTACCTCTTGAAACCAAATGAAGATATCTTGATGAGCAAAACTGGTATATAGTGTAAACGCAGCCAAAACCTTAAATTTTGTCAAATGAAGCGTCAATGTAACATGATCATGCAATTAAGAAATAAAAGATGTTTCATGTTTTTGCACAGGCTTATGCAAACCAAGGAGAACTTTGGGAGAACTCAAAAGCAGATTAGTGCAAGGCGGGACCGAAGGTTGAGGGTTGCAGCTGCTCGAGAGGTTGCCCTATTTTTATTACTCTGTCCTTAGTTATCTCTCCCCTTATGTAAAGTAAGAAAAACTTACAAACTTAAGAATTTAAAATTTTAAATTAGAGAAGAACTTGTAAACATATTTATCATTCATTCATAACAATATTTTACTGTATATACCCTACTTATGTTTAAATAAACTATCACTGCATCACATTACTACCATATATGTTGTATCATGTACATAATTTTGTCACTAATACTGAAGATGACATCACAAGATGTTGAAACATGTTTATTTTGAAAAACTCCAATGTTTACATTAGTTGTTTACTAATCATCAAAAGACAACAAAATGTACGCTATGTAATGTTAGTAAATACAATAAAATAATATAACTACAAAGGTTGAGTTAGTGGATTCATTCAGGTACATTGAGTTTAAAAAATTTAATTCCGCATCCACCATTTGTTACTAAAGCTAAAGTTCCTGTGCTGTAATGCACAGTTATAATAAATACAAAATCTAATTTTTCGTCAAATTCAGTGCATATTTCACCACTCTTTAAATCTACAGCCACCAATGTGCCAAAAGATTCGCCAATGAAATATGATTGATGCACGATTGTGTTAGACCGAAAAAATCTATCGAAACTATAGAAAATCGTACTCACGTCATTGTTTTTATGCACATTAATTACATAAATGCCAGTTTCCTCGTAGAAAATGCCGTAGTCAAAAGAGAATGCAATGACCGCTTGGTTACTATTACTTAAAAAGCAACTGACTTTAAGACAATATTCAAAGATATGTTGAGGATTTTCCATAAAAGACGTTATGGGATCTATTTCTGCAGTATGCCAAGGTTTCAAGTAAAGTTCATTGTTGTTATTTCCCCATTTCCATAATGTGTATTCTGTTTTGTTTACAGTTAAAATAACAGAATTATCAGGTGATACAGCTGCTCTTTTAACTTTTGAACTATCGACAGGAAGTCTTTTGTTGTATTGTATCTCACCCTTGGTAATTCTAACAACTTGAACAAACTTTTCTTTGTCAATACAAACTAAGACATCACCAAATGTTAAGATTTTCTTAGGTTTAAATAAAATGTTAACTTGTTTTGCTTGAGTAGAATCTACATAATTTTCTGACGAAGTTGATATCTTCATAAGATGATCAGAACCATCCCATATCCACAGTAAACCATCTGACCACCAACATCCTAATGCATTCTTCAGTTGCATTGGTACAGTTCGAATAACAGTGCAATGTTCAATGCTCCAAATATGAATGTTGACGAGGTCACCAACAGTGAAAGCAGCCAAAACAGATCCATCCGGTGAAAAACAACAACATTTAATTTTAAATTTCTCAAAGATAAATGAAGGTCTCCAAAGATGATCAGTTTTGAAAATTTTAAGCTTGGAAAAATACGGCACAAAGTAAAATTCCTTAAAAGAGATGGGATGGACTTTTTTAAGAGTCCTCCAAAAACATGGACACTCAACATTTGGTAAATAAAACATGATTTCTCCTTGATCGTTGTATTTTAGCGACTGAGTGATTTCAGAAAGCTTTCCATTCTGGCTTGTATGATAAAAAATACAATCACGATAATGGTGTGTTGTCATTAAACGTGAAGATAATGTATAATACTTTTCACTTATATTGATTGACTTTGGGAATTGAAAAACATACAAAGTCTTATCAATGAAAGCAACAATGAACTCTGAATATTTATCGGTGTATTGTAGTTTTTGGTAATCAACAACGCAGCGTCGATCAATTCTTTGCAAAGTTAATGAATTCCATGCAGTGAACACATCTTTAGAAGAATAACCATCATATCTTGCTGTAATAAACAAACCAGAATCTACGAAAGAGCAATGATTAACGACATCATCTGACTGTAAACATGATAACAAACGTCCATTGTTAACATCCCACAACTTTACTTCAGTAGATCCATCACTAGTTACCAGTCTATTTCCGGTAGGTGAAAAGGAGCAACAACTAATGTTTCCACGTGCAAAACGAAATTTCTTTGCTAATGAATTGTAATATTTGTCATACAGGAACATAAAGTGCTCTACATCATTTACATTGTTTAACATATCCAACCTTGAAACATCGAGTGCAGTGCCGAGAGTGCATCGTTGTTTAAATTCAGGAAGTTCAAAAATAGATATTTGACCATTTTCATATCCTACAGCAAGAAGTTCTTCATTGGACGACACACAAAGAGATGTAACGTTAGCACGCAAGGAGACAGTCAAATGATGATGGTTTGTTAAATATGTTGAGTCTAAATTCTCAAACCAAACAAGCTTTCCTTGTTTCAATAAATCTCTTGCCAATAATCGTTTTTCGTTACTGCCATGAATTGCGTTTGCAATAAATTGTAAATAAATGAAGCTTTTATCAAACATATATGACTTATATCTCATTGTCAGTAACAAATGAAGTTGTAGTTCCTCAAGTACATCTATTCTCAAGAAAGTTCGTAGTTCCTTAATGATTTCAAACAATTCAGACCTAATGGTATCCACGTCAATGTCTTCCACACACATTAACCTTGCACAAACCACTTTGACATCTACTGCCCAACTAAAGTCAGCATTTTCGCCACATTTTGACATATGATAGATTCCATTCTTCAAAGCATATTTAATCATAGCAGTGTTCATCTGATCTTCAAAAATGTTCATCGACTTGATGTGTTTAAACACTTTCTCACAAGCATGCCATAAGAACTTATGACCAATTTTTGGATTAACTGTAAACTCATGCTGTTTGTAACCATCTGATTTTAACCAATCAATTAGAGATTTGTGATACACGGTTAAACAATCATTGTAAACTGGCAAAATTTGAGATAGCAGTTCAATGATTTTACTGCGGACTTCAAACTTGATGTCACCAGAAAAACCTAAATAGCTAAACAGTAAATTTAATGGTAAAAACTCCCGACAGGCAGCCAACAATTCAAAAAATTGCATAAAAGTAGTTTCTGAGACAACAGGATTTCTGGGACTTTCTTTCGTTAACAATTCTTTTACTCTTTTGAATTGCTTTGTGTAAGCACCGCTTAACCCACTAGGGACCAATTGTCGAATGTTTTTGTAAGTAAGCTCAATATTTTCTTCTTTCAAGCTCAGTTGTGCGTAATACGCATAAAGAAATGATCCCTCACATTTTTCAACTAATGGAAATAGAAGGAAGGGATCTTCCGGCACCCGATCATTCAACTGATGTCTCAAATACTTGTGCAGGTCTTTTTTGTTGTTTACATCACAAGGATGAGTTGTAATTTCCACAGGATTCATGCTTTTCAACTCCTTTTGAACAGGAAGTTCTGGACGACTGGTGATGAAGATTTTAATCCATTTAGGCAGTCTGACAAATTCTTCTGCAATCAATTCCAACAATTCACTTTTGCCATCAACTTGGCTTTCATCTAAGGCATCAATAACCAAAAGCATTGGTTCATGATCTTCCAATGAATGCAATGGATTATTTAATAACACACGGAATATATCGGTGATCGATTCTTTGGAATGGTTTCTCTGTAATTCTTCATTCAGTTTACATTTGAAATCTAATATTGTATCACACATGCTACTAGCCAATGATTCTATCAACATTCGAGGATTACTCTCATCTGATCGATTATATCTGCAGAAATGAGAAGCAGCAAGTTTCTTCTTTTCAGAATATCGTCGACACAACTCAGCAGAAAACACACTTTTACCAACGCCTGGACCGGCAATCAAAATCATGACATTAGAAGCATCTTCATTTTTATCGTTAAACCAAGTGTCGAGTTTTTCAAATAACCATTGTCTAGTGCCTTGAAGGTATTTCTTGTTAAGATCTTTTATAAGACCATTAAACGTACACTTACCAAGCTTCTTGAGGTCTGAGCATATTTTATCCGGTATCATTTCTCTCACTCTGGTTACATCAGCTTTTGTTGCCATATCTTGTTTAATTTCTTCTACTTTATTGTTCATAGCTTCAAACTTTTTTATTAATTCTTTTACATTTTCGTTGTTTTTCTTAGCAACATCGATTAACTGTCGCTCTTCTTCATACCATTCTTTTAACATTTTAATATAATTTGCCTCAGCGGTACTGAGGGGAGCTTTCTTTAATTCATCTATTTCAGTTTGTTGAATACCCAGACCAACCAATGCTTTTGAAATTTCCTGCCACAAGTTCTCAAACACACTATCATCTACACTAGTTTTAGTTATGTGACCATACACTTCGTTTCGATAAGACTTTATTCTTGCAATATTTGCTGAGACTGAAGAATCAATAGAGGAAGGAAGTTCATCCCATCCTGTAGTTGGCGCTTTTAGAACACATATATTTCGCAATAAGACAGTCAATAATGTGATGTCAAAGTTTTCAATGTCAGGGTCACCAATTGACGGGTAAAGAAGATCCCATTGCTCATTCTTGATGACTTTACATTTTATAGATGTTAGTGTCTTCTTTGTAGAGGGATCTTTAAGTTTATCAGCTAAGTTTGATGGTTTTAATAAAGATTGCAATTTTGTTTTTAAGGCTTGGGTTCCTTTATTTATCAAAAGTTTACTCAAACGAGATCCATTTTCCTCAATTTTTAATTTTTCATGTGGCGAAGCCATTTTTTATTCTATAAATGAGGAATGATATTGTAAAAAAAGGTATAATTTAAAATGTACAAAATGTTCACAAAAGTTAAAAGGATAACTTAAAAATAATACAACAAGTCATTTATAAAGACTTGTGTGCTTCATTTCTTTCTCTCGATAAAAATTGTGGTCACTGCCTAGTGACATGACCCGGTAATTGATCTTACATCAAGGCATTAAAATAGTAGACTTGATATAATGAGAAACGCCTGCTCGGCGCGAGAGGCAGCAATTACCTTGGGATAGTAACTCTTAGTTAATAAATAATATATCTTATTTGTCTAACAATCGTGTGGTGAAGAGATACGTCGTTTTTTAACAAGATATATCAAACTGGCTTGCTGTGTTGTATGAATATTTGCTTATTAACATTTTGAAAGGACTATATTGCTGATGATTCTGTTCCAATTAAAGTTTTTGCTGGGCTGCAGCTTAGCGGACACCCGAAGCGATTGTGACCGCGGGCTCGTGTTTTCTTGGGATTATTCGGTAGGGTTTGGGTCAGCGTCCAAGGTGTCCGCTAAACTGCAGTAGTCCCCCATAGGACAATAACTTAAGTCATTAAGTAATAACTTTACATTTTCCTCACCAAAACACAGAACACAGGCTGAGAGATAAACAACGCGACATATGAATAAAATACAAGTACGGAATGTACAGAGTATCAAGTTCTTTGTATTTCTTTCCCAAACGAAGTTTAAGGGGGGTATGGGGGGGAACTAACCCCCCAAAAATGTTAACGTTGCAGGGCAACGATTGAATTTGCAGGGCTAATTACAAAACTAAACACTAGGATACGTGTGAACAGTTATCCACATAATTTGAAAATATAATTCAGTTTTAATTTAAGCTGGATTTGCACTTCATGGGTAAGAACGGAAAACGGTAAACGGTAAACGTAAACGGCGTATCGTGATGCGTATCCGTTATCCGTGATGCGTATCAAGGAAACTTTACGTTTATAAATTTCCTCTTGTTTTGGCGGACATTTTAAGTTGCGGCGGTAGTGTAGAAAAGTGTGATCTTTGGTGGAATGGACCATCCTGGCTGACTCGACCACAAGATTGGCTCCCTCCTCTCGTGACGAGCGCTATTGAGTATAGCAACGCAGAGAAGAAGATCAAACGGGAGTTATCATTTCTGACTGTTGAAAACCGTCGTCTTGACCAAATTCTCGATAAATTCGAGCGACATAAAATAATCAGAATTTTTGGATGGATGGCACGGTTTACGCACAACTGTCTTAACCCAAAGAAGAAGAGAAATTGAGCATTGAATGCGGATGAGGTGTTGGCACAAGAGGAGTATTGAATGAAACGAGCGCAACAACAGTTCGTGAACACGGAAGAATTCTTTAAAGATAAAGACCAACTCAATCTCCAGTTAAGTAATAAGGGAATATAGATATATCGTGAGGAATGCCCAATATACCTCCCCGACCAAGCGAAGTTTACTTCGAAATTGATGCAGAGAGCTCATTTTAACACTTTGCACGGTAGCGTAGGATTAATTATGGCCCATGTACGCGAGAAATTTTCGTTCCAAGACTTTGCAAGTTAACAAAAAAATCATTGGATCTTGTTCGGGCTGTAAACGATTCAGACTGACACCAGCGCAGGTACCTTGTCCTGGTCCCCTTCCGGAGACAAGAACAGACCCATCCAATACATTTGAAATCATTGGCGTTGATTTCGCAGAACCCATAACGTACAGAAAAAATAAAAGAGAAGGGAAATCCTACATCGTTTTATATTCATGTTCTCTGACACTGGCAGTATTTCTTGATCTCGTGCCTAGCTTGGAAACCAGTGAATTCATCAAGAGCTTTAAACGTCTTGTGGCTAGAAGAGGAAAACCCTCCATCATATACTCGGATAACGCTACCACCTTCGTGGCAGCGTCAAAGTGGCTGAAGAGTGTACAAAAAGACAGACAGCTTAATCACTTTCTCAACAAAGAATTAGTGTCGTGGCGGTTCAATCTCAGTAGGGCTCCCTGGTGCGGAGGTCAGTTTGAACGGTTAATAGGATTGATGAAGAGCTGCTTCTATAGGGCTATTGGAAACGGTGAGTTAACTTGGGATGAGTTGTCTGTAGTTTTATTGGATGTGGAATTAGCGATAAACAGTAGACAGCTTTGTTATATGTAGGAAGACGACTCTTACACCTAACACAATGTTGTTGTTAAGTCCAGTTACCTTCCTGAATTAAAACCTTTTCACTAACCCAAGAGTCTGAAAAAGGTTTTAAAGTATTTGAAGAAGACTAAGGAAGAAATGTGGCGTCATTGGACCAGAGAGTATATGAGAGGCTTAAGAGAACATCATTGAATGAAACATAATGCACGAGGAACAACTATTTCCGTACGGGATATCGTATTGGTGAAGTCAAACCAAAAGAACCGAAATCATTGGTTGATGGGTAAGGTAGTTGACTTAATTAAAAGCAGAGATGGCGTGGTACGTGCGGCAAAACTGAGAGCAGGTCGAGATCACTTAGAGAGAGCCGTTCAACATTTATAACCTCTGGAGTTATCATGACATTCAACCCAGACAGCGGACGGGGAGCACACAAAGGAGAAGATAACAAAATTAAATCTAAAAGCCGAACATTTGGAACCTATAAGACAAGAAGCCATCGAGGCAGAACAACGTGTGCGAGAAATTTTACAGGATGAGAACGATGTACATTAACCATAACATTAAGTACTATAGCAAATTACTTGTAACATAAAAGTCATATGAGGGATCGTGTGGGAAACTTTATGTTACTTTTGTGAAAAGACGAAACACGTGGGTTTTGTTTTGGGGGGGGATAAAAGTTATGATGTTCGTATGTTGCTTATGAGCGTATTTCCTTTGTTATAAAAAATAAAGCAAAAATATCTTTGCGTGAATATCGAGTGTGAGTAAATTAAGAAACTTCGAAGAAACATTTCCCTGTTTCCGAAAACATTTATACATTGTACTGTTTACTTAAGTTTAATTATATTTAAAAAGAAAAGTCACATTATGACGTGGCATCTGTGAATGTCAAGCGCATCACTTACTCAGAATTATTTATTATCAAACCTTTTCTTCGTGTAAGAGCCGCAATTTTTATAGAGAATAATTTGAAACAAAAAATGAAACCTACTTTCCAGTCGTGGTATTAAATATAGCTTTGAAAGTCACTTATAGAATCATTCAAACGATTTTCATTTGGAATGGAAATAAACATTGATTTGTTTATAGTCATACTTCATACTACGCAATGCTTCGGTATCAAATTTGTTAAGTTAGAAATGTAAATACAAAATCTCGGTTAACTTACGTAAAATTACCTTTGTTTTAGAAATAAGACTTCATATACGACGGTCGTGTGGACAAAATTATGCTTGCTTTAGTTCTTTACATGTTACGTACTTAACAAAAGATGAGAAATTTAATATAAAAAACGCGACTACATACATATCAGTTAAAAATGGTGATCATAATTCATACAATATTGAAATATCAACTTTTTATCAATTTGAGTTTTGTTACATAAACACATTTAAAAACCGAACGAAGATGAAGAGTGAGTCAGGATCTCCTTCAACAAACAGTTTTAATCTGCAACAAAGTATACATCACTGACTAAAAACAATTGTTATAAAATAAAAGTACATAAACAAGAATATCGTGAAGAGTACATATTTAACATTGAGATTATTCAAATTCCAATTGAGTACTGTTAAACGTTATAAAGTTTCACATGTTTTAACTCAGGAATAGAGAATCGCCTATCTAAGACAGGATTTGAATGCCAATGATTAAGACACGATTTTCGAAACTGTGAATGGATTTTTCCCTTCATTAATCAAAAATTCCAAACATGTAAATTCTTGCATAAGTCAGTTCTTATTATAAAAAACCTTTGATATTAAATAAACTATTGCAAATTATGAATACATCACAAACATCAACTGCACGCAATTATAATTACTGACCAATAAAGACACTGTAGATACAACAGTAAAGGTTGCAATGAAAGTAAACCTTAAAACTGTTAAACAAACATGTAACATTTCACAAAAATAGATTCGGTTGCGTCTTTGTCAGTGTAAATACATTTTTCCTGTGTTCAACATTTGCTTATTTTACAAATGTTTTTACTTTTAAAATGAATGGTTTGCTCAATACAATTAACAACATTTTGTTAGACACACAGCGATTAGTCAAAAGTGCATGATTGGACATGCTATCCTTTCTACATAAATTTTCACAGATTCCCATTTTTTCTGTAGACAAGTATCTTATTTCACCTCTCCCATGCCTTTGAAAGTGTTTTGCTTTCCTTTGCCATGCAGCTATTGTCAATAGCTAAAAAGTTGGTATATCAATTTAGATATGATTTTAATGAAGCAAATGGTTTGAACCCGGGAGTATCGTTACATGTTTGTAAATGATGATCGTCCAGGTTAATAAAGTCCTGAGAAGGACTGTTTTTGTTGTTGTTGACTGACGTTTCCACAACCTTAGCGGTAGTCATCTTTTTGACTCTGAAGATGACTACCGCTAAGGTTGTCGAAACGTCATCTTTTTAGTCCTTCTCAGGACAACGTCAGACGATCATCATTTACAAACATGTTAGATATGATTTCTCATGCATGTTTAGTCATACTTTATCGAGATGCCGCTTTAGTTAATATGTTATGTCGGTAATGTAGTTCTAAAATATCGCTTAATTTTTGTAAAATTACCTTCCTTTAAGAAATAAGACGACCGTGTGAACAAAATTATGCTTGCTTTAGTTCTTTACATGTCACATACTCAACAAACGGATGAGAGATTTAATATAAACAACGCGACCACATACATATCAGTTGAAAAATGGTGATCATAATTCATACCTTATTGTAACATCAATCTTTTATCCATGTAAGTTTTGATATATAAACACATTTAAATAACGAACGAAGATGAAGAGTGAGTCAGGATCTCCTTCAACAAACAGTATTATAAAACATTAATGACATCTATGTAGAACATTCTAGTTATATAACTAAGTATACATCACTGACTAAAAACAATTGTTATAGAAATAAAAATACATAAATAAGAACCTCGTGCAGAGTACATAATAAAATTAAGATTGCTCAAATTCCAAAGGACTAATGCTAAATCTTATAAAGTTTCACAAGTTTTAACTCAGGAGTAGAGAATCACCTATTTAAGGCAAGATTTGAATGCCAATGATTAAGACACGATTCTCGAAACAATGAATGGATTTTTTCCCCTTGCTTAATCAAAAATTCCATATATGTATATTCTTGCATAAGTCAGATCTTGTTATAAAGAACCTTTATTATTGAATAAACCATTGTAACATACGAATACATTTCAAACATCAACTGCATGCATTTTTTAGCTATGAGAAAAAACACTGCCGATACAACAGTAAAGGATGCAATGAAAATAGTCATTAAGATAAAGCTAGTCTCAGATGTGCAGTGACGCTGAGAAGCACATTGTAGTTTAAAAATCTCAATCTCAAACTATCTACTATCAAGATTAATCTCTGTGTATTTAGTGTTATCATTTCTCTCTATATCATTGGGAATGAATTTGGTATAGACATAAAAAAACTCACTTCATGGTAGGGGAGAAAATTTTCGAATGATGTGTGCTAATATTATTGTGCTAAGCGTATTACCGTGAGTAATGTAAAAATTCGTCTCAATGCTCATGTTTAAAGCAATATTTTATGTAAAAAGGACTCCTTTGTGAAATGAAAGAATCATGGAATTTTCATTATGTACCCAAATCACACTTCCATACTGTATAAAATCATTTTTAATTCTCGCTGAGTCAGTTGATGCCGAAGATTAAAAAAATTTGTCTTAGAAGATCTGACTGAACAGAAAACTTGCGTACATATTTTTTTCAAATTGTATGCCATTATATTTATTAAACGCAGTGTTTTAGGAGATATACCCAAAGGCCGAGAAATAAAATAAATGTGAATATTAAACATAGCTATAATAAATAATGTTATGACAAATGACTTCGCTTGGCCCCAAATGTGGACACTGTTTTTTTCCACTGTGTTTTTTTTTCTGTTTTTTTCCACTTTTTTTTTTTTTGTTTTTAAGTCGGCTGACTACCCTATTTATTGACACCGCAAATATTTTGTGTTTGAACAAAAGAAACGAAAACTTTAGTAGAGAACAAAAAATGAAAGAGTGCAGACTGTTAACAAAAATTTTAATGAACAGACAAAAAATAAAAACTAATAGCAGCTCATACATAAATCATATGAAAAATTCATTCAGTACGTTCGACCTGATCATTCACCTACCAATAACAATGAAAAATGAAATGACCAAAGTGACGTCGTGACTTGCATACAAATTATTTTTGATGTCTACTAGATTTCATTCGATCAAATTTTCTATGTTGCTTTATTAAGATGTTCATTAATAGCTGGCTTTCACTCGTGTGTTTTGTCAGAAAATTTGACAATTGTGAAAATTTAGTTTTACGGAAATTTTTAACGGTTAAATTTATAAATTCGTTATGCTGATTAATAGTATGCATAACGAAAGTCGCAGGTGGAAATCTTTCAATAAGGATGCTTGTTTCTTCGTTCTTCTGTCCAACTTGATCGTTCATTCAATGTGTAGTTATTACGCCTACAGACATAGCTACTCTATAAAAAACACATTATAAATGTCAGCATAATGAACGAATAAGAACAGAAATTATATATTTAAAAAAAGAACAAAACTTTAATACCTGATTTTCAAGCATTGTCCTTGTCCGTCTTATCCGGGAGTTTTAGTAGGTCTCTTCCACTTTTCTTACAGCGTAGTTTTTACGTATATATCGTAGAAATTTTATTGTAACATTTTTATCTTAAAAATTCAATGAACCCTACTTGCAGCATTGCAATTTTGTTTATAAACGTTTAATAAAATTAGTAAAAAGTAGCGAGTGAAAGCCAGCTATTTTCACACAGGAAATGACATCTTTTATTGACTTTTCTTAACTAATGTGGGTGTTTTTCATGGTTATAGTTCAAATTATAAAAATAGACCATCGGGATCATTTTTGAATATCTCTTGCAGTTACTCATAGCGATAAGTTAATTTTAATACTCATCTACTCAACTTACAAACCACAAGACATAGATCTTGTTTTTCCACTCGCTTGTTTTCCATCTTTGTCGAATATAGCCCAATCATTTCAATATTAATGTTCACAAGTACAAATGCCGTTATGCAATGTCGAATCAATACGTTTATACCATTCTATACACAAAGTAATCGACGTAACCAATAAAGGGGCTACTGGTATTATGAATCGCCATTTCGATAGATTACTATAAACGATGCACTCTTATGGTAATTTCAAGCGAAGGAAAAGGGTTCACTTCAAAACTCCAGTTATATCATCACTCAAAGAATGCCTAGTGCAGATTTGATCTCCTATGAATGTCAGCTGACCACCTTTTGGTGGGCTCATATAACAATGGGGCCCATCATCATTATATGAACAAACAACTGACATCCACAAAGAATCCAAACTACAAATGAACATTTTTGGCCATGAATCACCATGACACACGAGTAATGACAAACTAGTAAGAGTAATTGAAGTGAATGACACAGGTGGTAAAGTGAATTTCACAACTCTATCCATGTAGGATCTACAATATAAGAAAATATGAAACATATGTACGACATTTCATGATAAAGAAATCTACATATGACGTTAGTTTGCGTTTTGAAATTCTTAATCAGATATATTGAGAATGAGCAAATTGTTATATGTTTTCTGTTTGACTATCCAAATGGTAGAACATTCAATGAAAACTATAGTAGACAGTAGTAGAAAAAAGAGCAAAAAACAATTACGGCTCTCGTTCATTGCAAGTCTAAATCTTAATCTATGAAAACTGCACTTCTATACACCCAACCACATAGTGCATTGGAGACAGATGGCAAATTTAGTGTATTTATATTCATCGCATATATTTAGTTATAATTATATTTAGTGATATTGAAGAAACAAACCAGAAATCAGTAGCATCAATAAAAACCATTGAGATTTTCACAAGAACAATAGAGATAAATCCAAAAACAAATTATCATTTATCGTCAGTTTAGTCACTTACATTTGTAGTTTCCAGCCGTAGGATCTATTTTCATACATGATTTTGAAACAAGGATTTTCCTCTTTTAAATTTCTTTTTGCTGCTGCTATCAACATTTAAGACAAAACACTGATAGAATATACCTGTACATCGTGGCTTTCAAATGTTTAACTATGTGCGGTATGCCCTTGTTCAGTAGCATTAAGATATTGGCGGTCTTGATTTTTTATCAACACGTTTAAATGCATCTGCAATCAAACGAGACGTGTTTCGGTAACTTGTCTTCGAGGAGAGTTGAAGGCAACAACTTTATTGTGCATGGCACAATCACAAATCTTTATACTTGTCGTCTATGTGTAAAGTCTTGTTCCATCTCATGTGAACAAAATCTGCTTTCCATGACGCCTCGTGGTTTATATGTGGCTTGAAGTGTATAGTATCTTTATAAATAGTGTTAAGCATGTCATTATATGGATTTGTTCCACATGATTGTTTAACCCTCTGGGAGCCGTGCCTTTTCAAAAGTTCTTACACATCTCGTTTGGTGATTGTTGCCTGTGAGCAACAACGGCCTCTATAGGGTTAAAATACATTGTTTGTACTTGAACAAATTACTGGATATCTATCAAATCAAATTTTTAAAAATAAAACGTATTGTTGCCAATTAAAAGAACTATGCTCTCTCTATATTAATATACGTGAAATGCTAATATCACAGAATAAGAATATAGAGAAGGGTCACTCGTGTCGGAGCCTTTCATGTTTCTATTCTCGCGCATGTCGCGCCGCGCATGGTGGCCGCCATTATTACAGCCAGATGATTAGGGTTTTTGACTTATTCCCAACCTTCAAAATGATCCAAAGTCATTTCTAAAGTCAAAATATTCTGGAAATCATTATTAAGAATTGATGTCCTGTAATTTTAATGGTTGTAAACCAGTAACAAACCTAATCAACTGGCTGGAATAATGGCTGACGTGAGGACACGTTGAACGCCTAAGTGACCCTTCCGTATAGTTATTATTCTGTGTTAATATTATGATTCTGGGCTTGAAGATGTTGTTGACGTCAATCAGAACGCCATTAAACCATTTTTAGAACCTTATCAAGATATGACTGTAAGATTCAATGAAGATTTGGTCAAAGTTAAAGTCTAGTTTTTAAATTCATTAAGATCTTACGAATCTTAACCTACTCTAGAACATCATGCATCGTTACTTTTGCACAACGACATTAAGACGCAAAAGAAATCGTAAGATTCTAACGATTTTCCTTATTTAAACTCGTCGAGTGGCGCTACTGTTGTATATTCCTTTACTGTGGATATGCTGACCAGAAGGAAACAAGAAAAAACTTATATAAACACTATTGAGTGCTTTACAACAAATAGAGTTTTGTATAGAGAACTGAAAATTATGTGAAAGAGCTAGGAGAGTTGTTTGCAACATGTTTAGGTCGGGTTGCGTTTGCCTAAGTATAAAGCTAATTTAAGATTGATAGAGAATTGAGATATTTTCAGTGTCTAAGGTAGAGAAGCAGGAGCGAGTGTATTTAGAATTTTTGTTCATTCAACTATTAACTTAATAAACATTGTATCCTCTTTAATGAACGGAAGATTGCTTAAACTCTCTATCGACGAAATTAGAACTGGCAATCCAAATGGATTCAAATCAGACTCTGGTCCCTGAAATAAGGAACTTCGAGGATCAGAATGAAAAGCACCAATCATGTGATCACCATTTCCTTGAGCCATTAACATCATTGTGATCTTCTTTTGAAATGACCATGTTTGTAGAGCATCGTAATCACCTAGAAATAATATCATACACAATATGAATTTTCTATAAAAATATGATATAAATCTTAATAAATCCCAAGGCATACCTTTCCCTTCTATCGTAATTTATTTTCGTACATGATCAAAAAAACTAAAAAGTATCGCATCTCACAAACAATTGTAAGCTTTAGTCTGCTTTTTCGGTGAATTGAAAATAAAAATCTTTGGCTTTATACTCTTCATACAATGTTCTACATTATTCAACAAATTATCCCAACTAGGCATCTAACTTCCAATCCTGTCTATTCCAAAAAGCACAGCGAGTCACGTGACGTATTCTGTACTCTTAGATATTATGCCTCTAGAGAAATCAAATTACATGATCTCAATTTTAACGCAATTTTTGCCATCATCTGCATGCTACCAAACAGTCTTGGACAGCCTATTTTATACCCACAAAAATCCACTTTCAATTTTCGAGGCAGCTTAAGTAGAAACTTTTAAAAATAGCTTTACCTTTCATGATAACAAAGAACAAAGATAAATGAGTTCCATTTCCCCGACTATCACCATTCATATAGATCTAAGCACACATCTTGTAACCATATTGAGAACTGTAAAATGGTGGACTGTACCAGGTATTCTTAACATCATTAATGGCGTCCTGTCGCTTTCGATTGAAGTTGTCTATTCTCCAAAGTAACGTACCATTATAGCTGGGTATGATTTGATCCTAGTGCGCGCTCTTCACGTTGTGCTTCGAGGTTCGTAATGTTCACCATGTTTCTCACTATTGATTCGTCTATTTGATCTAAACGCTCACGAAACCGTTGTATAGTGGAAGAATCGTCTCTCGCTTGTCGCTCAAGTGTTGCAATTCTTTCACGCAACAAGGAAACCTCTGGGGACAACTGGGTGTTATAACTGTTGCTACCACCACGACCCTCGAGACACTCAATTCTTCTTTCCAGACCTGTAATTTTGCGATCTAACATCACAAATTTTTGAAAGTAATATGCACGAACAGCAGTGACTTGGTCAACAAGTCTTTGCAATGGAGTGGTAAACTCTGGACGTAGTACGAAGTTACCAAGCTGTATAACAAATGCCATAACATATCGTAGTAAGAGGCTCACGTGATTAATTGCAGTGTTATTCATATGAAGTCTGATCTCCTTTCGTTTTAAAGTCTGTGAAGTGAGAAAAAGATACTGCCAGCACATTCTTTTAACAAAATATATGATGCTATTTACTGGTTATTTCATTTCAATCTTTATGTATGTCAAAGACATTATGTATTATTAATAAATATTGTTTCTCAACATATAATTTATCTATAGAAAAAGTAAACGAGAAATTTCTTTTTTTGGCACGTCTAAGCTTTTCCCGGTCCCCCCAGTCTCCATATACGTGTAGAGTAAGGAGTACAAAGTACGTTAATACGGCAGATTGAATTATGTTTACTGCAACTTGGTTATTGGGAAAGCTCTGGCTCCTTAGCTTGGGCAAACCATCATATATCTTAATAATCATATGTTCTGAATTTATAAATTTGTAAATGGGTGAATATATAAATGTGTACTTCATGTAAACCTGATGCAGCTGCATTTATATACAAAGTCAACGGTTTTAACATTGCTTGTTTTAAATTTTAAAACTTTTAAACGTTTTTATACCGTACTATCATCTCAAGGGTTTTTGACGTAAAATTTTTTTATGCAAAGAACAAATGCAAGATTGTCGGTGGGAGCTACTACGCATCTACTACTGCTGACATGAAATTATAAATCAGATATGTCGCCCACGATGCCTTATGGATGCATTGACAAAAACGACAGTGTGATGTACGATCCTAAACTTCATAGTAAACAAATTTTTTTACCACTGATGAGACTCAAAGGTTCGACCGGAGATATAAATATATCGTGGAAAGTCGAGTTTCAACAAAGTTCTTTCAAAGTATCTCCTGAATTAGGAGAAGTGCTTATGAGGGAAGGCCAGTGGAATTCATCTATGCGACTTCAATTTTACTCCATACCAGAAAATGAAAAAGACGTCTACATTTTTGTTCATTTGTTTAATATTTCTGTAGGGGCAAGTTTTAGGAACACAGCCCGAGTGAAAGTCGTGTTTTCTTCCAAATTCTTCGTATCGACGAAAACGAAGACTACAGTCAAGAACAACTTGATTTTCAACATCATCTTACCGTCAGTGGGTGCATGCTTTGGCTTAATCCTCATAATATTGGTAATAGTTATTCTGTACCGACGATGTTTTAGAAGAAGGTATGACACGGTTTAGGTAGGACCTTTCCTTCTAAAATTATTTACGTTGATTATTTTTAGTTAGACTTTCAAATTGACTTTCATTGACAAAATTCGGAAAAAGTTGATAGAAATATTACATTTTGCACCTGTTAACAGGAACCAATAGGACATTTGCACAACTACGATTAGCTTTCGTTCAAACCCAATAAAAATCGGACAAAGTCCGATTAGCTATACATAAATGATAAGTCAAAATAACTCTCAAATCAGACAAATTTTGCAAAACCCACAAAATAAAAGACCGCACAAATTTCAAACAAGTCTCCGAAAAATGCATAAAGCTTAGCTATTCTAAAAGTATTTCAGCCGATTACTGAAAGAAATATAGCAAAACACACTACAAAAACATCATCTTGTAAACTCAAGATTCGAGTTATTAACAAGAGACAAATCTACGATTTTAATTGAAAGGATATTTACTTTAAAAATAGTGGAAATATCGTTTATAAATTTGTCTTTGTCAATATAACACGAATCTTGAGTTTTCAAAAGGATGTTTTTGATATTTTCCTGTTGTAATAGCTATGCTAATTCCCTTTAGAAAATAGTAAACTTAAAAATTTGAATTTTGAAAATACATAAAATTTGAAATTGTTTGAAGCGATCGCACTTCGTGCACGCGTTCTTGAAATAATTTCTCATTTCTCCCAAACTTTTCCGCGTGTTTCTATAACTCCATAGAAACACAGAAAATGTTTTTTTATTTCTAGATAGCATAGAAATGTCTAAGGCAGCATAGAAATGTTAACGATAAAAAGCAAACTTACGGGAAAACTTTTCCGCGTGTTTCTATAACTCCATAGAAACACAGAAAATGTTTTTTTATTTCTAGATAGCATAGAAATGTCTAAGGCAGCATAGAAATGTTAAAGATAAAAAGCAAAACTTACGGGGGAAACTTTTCCGCGTGTTTCTATAACTCCATAGAAACACAGAAAATGTTTTTTTATTTCTAGATAGCATAGAAACGTCTAAGGCAGCATAGAAATGTTAACGATAAAAAGCAAAACTTACGGGGAAAACTTTTCCCAGTCCCAAATCTGTTCAGCCATCTTAAGTCGACCTAATAAAATAAAAACCACAAAAATGAAAATTAATGCCATTAAAGCAAGGTTTTACGTGGAACAAGTGACGAGAAACATATGCTTTAACTTACACGAGAAAAAACAATTACGTAAGGCATTAAAAGTTTGGATGTATAATCGAGTAATTATGGCACAGACTAAAGGAATACACACAAAGGCCACTTCACTCCGTAAGTGCTGGCTGCAGTTACGCACGCTAACATTCCTATAGGTCAAAACAGGCCAATTGACTGGCCCGCCATTATGGTAAACAAATGCGTAATAAGATATGCACAAAAGAAAATTCAATGGAGTGAGCTTTCTGTGTTTCCTGATTCTATGATTATGGACTGTTTTGCATTACTGGAAGCAATGTTGCTTCTTCACTTCCCCGAAATGACGTACTATAAACCCTTGAGGTCACGTGCACACAAACTATATCTCATTGTCACTGCAAACAGTGGAAGTAAACAGAAACTTTAAAACATTTGCACATCCGTGAAAACTATTCGGGCTTCCGATACCGGAATCTGAAATCCGGAACAAAAACTTTCAGACCCAACCACTCATCGAAAAAAATACATTGCGCTTATGAATTCTGATATTAATATATTCAGATGGAACTATTGCAAACATTGAGAATTATTTGGAGCTTATTGATTATAAATTAAATTAAATTTTTATGTTATCTTTTGAACTTTTAGAGAGACAAGAGGACAGAGTCGACAGGTGGTAGTCATGCATCAGGCTAACCCAATTTATGATGAAACATCCTTCATATCTGCGAAGGAGGGAATATCGTAAGCGATTTTTTAAAACTTTAGCTTTTGTATAATCACAATGCCAAAATGGCGTAGGATAATTTTGTAGTTTCTAATAATTGGTTGTACTCAAACATAAGCATTCATAACTAAATTCTAATTATTTCAAGAACTATGATTAAAAATCCAATTTTGTCACCTTGTCTATATTTCAACACGAGAATCGCTATTATGAGCATATAACTAAGTTAGCAATGAGAATGTGGAGAAATGCTAACAAAAACACTGAAATATAGTTACAGGCAGTCCTTTCTTCCTGATTCATGCTTTGAATAGCAGCCTTTTGGATTCAATAAGCGGATACGACTCACTTTGTGATTCTTATCAACAATCTTTAACTTACGAAAAAATTCTTGAAAGCATGCAGACAGAGCTAAAAATAATTATTTAACAAGGAAGATTTTCTAACAAATAAGTTTCCTAACAATATCAAACATAATATTAGATATAAATGTAAGCTCAGCATGCGTTACGTGATGGTTAACGACCACCCTTTATTCAAAGACAGAATAGTACAGAAAAATAACCATCCATTCATATCACATACTTTGTGGTAGTATACTGAAAAATTTTTCTTTGTCTACTTTGAACGCTTGCCTGTCTACTTATGCGTACTTTTATGTTTATTCTTCGTGCATTTTGCTAACTATAGAGTTGGCTCGTGCATATTCTATAAAAAGATTATAAAAATATTTTTTGAATTTGCTATTTTTTCTGGCAACCAAATAACCTTGTAAGTCTAAGGTAGCCCGCAAGAATCCATCTTCCACAGTAATATTCTATTTAGTGTTGTTTCGAAAATTGGTTGGGTGGGGGCGGGGTCAGACAATTAAATAGATGACACTAGATTTATATATCTGCAACAATCACTAAACCAAATGAGTTGTGATTAAAAAAAAATGTGGTCGATTAAGGGTTCAATGCAACAAACAAGGCCGTAGCTAGAGCCTTATTGTATACGAGAATGGAAAAGGTCTGTAAATGTCAGCTCTCATGAGTCAATAATTAGTTATATTTATATATATTTTAGTTAAATGTTCCCACTTCTAGGCTAAGAATGAGCTCCTTTCATATATTAGGCTGAACTTCAGTTCGCATTTAACTGTAGACACCGTTGAAGCGCAAGCAATTAACGCTCAAAAAAGGCTTCTTATAATTTCTCTTAATATAGACTTACAACTGCAGACTTACAACTGCAGACTTGCAGCACACTCTCTTGAGATGCTTTTGCTGTTTTTAGGTTTTCTCTAGCAATGACATGAACGTGGCAACGTTTAGAGAGGGGATTGGTTGTGGTGTTGAATGAATGAAACCAAAAGGTATAAGAGAGTTTTTATCTAAAAGTGTCGAGAAATTTGGGGACAAAGCAACAGTTTTTCTTATAATGACTATGTTCTTGTAAATAAAATCTCTTCTCCAACTTAGCATTGACTTTTTCACGATCCATAGACGTCCCATACGTGTCTATAAAATACTGCTCCACTAGGTTCTTCAATAATAACTGTTAGGTTATGCTCTCATGTGATGTGTATATGTGTATCTTGTAAAGTGTGTGTTAACTTCCTACATATTTAACTATAGAAATGATTGTAAACGCAATCGATATTATTTGTAACAAGAGCTGAGGAAAGAAAATGACCAATCATAGTTTAGCGTCACGTATGCAAATAGCTGTATCATTATGTGTATCAGTTAGTTGTCGTGTGCTAGTTTTTCTTCTATATGTGCGAATAAATGTAATAAAACCTCCAGACATCAGTGTGATTATTTATCGTGGCCACTGCATCAAACCCAAAAGGTTATGGGCCCAGGAGAGCAATAATGTTCAATGGAGATGAAAATAAGTATGAGCTATGGGAAGTGCTATGCCTATGTGTAAAACGCGAAAAAGCTTGAACCTAGAAGCAAGAAGGGGATTTTCATTGGGTATGATAAGTGTTGCCCTGCATACCTGGTATATTACCCTGAAAACATGAAAGTAGAGAGAGCAAGATGCGTAAACCTTTTAAGGGGACACCACAATTAAATCTAACGTTTAGAAAGAGCGAGAACCCTTTAAAACTGGTAGGATACAGTGATTTAGATTGGGGATGCTAGTGAATATAGCAAATATTCCAGTAATGAGTTAACGACTAAATATACTTTATAGCTTATTTGCTGGTTTTGGCTCCCAACTTTCTCAATAAATTAATTCTAAAAATTACACAATATTGACAAAAGCCACGAATAGCTATAATGATAATGAAAAAGAGAGAAAACTACAGGAAAGACAAAAAACATATACGTATAACTGGTTTTTTAAAAAACATAATTTTGTGCTCACTCCGCCCATAGTGCTTTGGACATTTTGATAAAACTAGTGACGCGTAAAATAGAAATTCTCAGAAAAATGTTTTGAAAAAAATCCTGAGTGCGACTACAAAGATACATCAGTGTTGTAAAACTCACTCGATAATAAACATGCCATAACAAGCCACGATTACTTCGCAGAATATGAGAGCATGCTTGGGTAGGAAAACTGATAATTGCGGGAGGGAGGGGGTCAAATTCATGTATTTATGTTATAAGCCTTAGAAAAGCTGGATTTCAAAAGAACTTAACATGCTTTTTGATGAATAGATGAAGAGCTCCTCCCCCTCCCCCTCCTCCCCCAAAAAAGGAAAAAATTAACGATATTCTTAAGCCCATATTTAAGAACACTTGAAAACTATGAAAATCCGAAAGTCAAAATGCAAATCTTCCCATCATGCTTTTTGTCTTCAAAGCAATTTACAATATGGTTGGCCACAAAATCTTGGTACAACCAAATGACGGTAAGGTGACGCTTTCTGCTGTGCCATATGTTTCCATGTTCCCGCTTGTTCCATTTTAATACCTCAAAGTTGTTGAGATGCGAATTAATACTACCCAACACCAAGATTTCAACGATGAAAACATGCCTGCGAACATATTACCATCATTTACAAGCAATTTATATGTCGACAGAAGATACAAAGATGCAAGGCTTCAGAATTTGGTGACCGTGACTGTGATTATAATTTAGCTCTTATATGTATTTTGCATGTGAGGTAGTAAGAATATTTCTACAAGCAAATATCTCACCAGTGAAAGCGACATGCTCCTTTTTGTGGACATTACGATACCTAAAAACTGAGCTATTGAAGGTTTGGCATTATGAAAAAAATACGTGAAAAGATATCGCGCTCCTTTTTAAAAAATTCTATATAATTGACCATAGATACAAAGAGGATGTCGAGAATATTATTTTTACTGCAAAGCGATCATTTCAGCTTAAAAAGATAAATTGTCATCCATGTTTTAGCATTATTGACTCAGTCCACCAAGCCGCTGCAGTTATTATAGAGCTCAATCACATATATACATATAAATCAAATATGGCGTCAACGAGAACGCTTAAAAGATTTCCTACATCACATTCATGCGATGTTCTCAATTTGAGAAGTATCGCGCGCTTTAGACGATCTTATACACAGCAAAAGTTGAATATTTTATCAGTTTTCTTACAACCTATTTTGTTTTGTTTCTTTAAGAACGTGTGTATTTGAAACGATGACAACATAGCATGGTAGTGCAATAACTTTAAAATATTCTACAAAGTACATAGACATACTACAAAATATATTTATACACTACATTGTACATACTTATACTTAGAAATAAATCAATAAATCTCCTTAATGTGATTCATGGATACATGTAATTCAAATGAAAAAAAAAAAGAAAGAGAAATATTGTTCAATTTATCCGCGGACCTTGATCGTTAATCGACAGCTAAAAACAAAGCTTTTCCCGTTACCTCTAATGGCGAAATCATAAGTAATGTCATATTTCCCAATTCCAAAATTTCCTTCGCCTAAAATTGCTCCTGATGGTGACAGACTAATCAGTGAATGTGGACACTTTGGTTTTGGCTCGTTCCGTTTAACATATACAACGGTTTTTCTTCCTAATTTTCTTTGTTATTGGTGCTGTACTTTGGCATTCACATGCTGTGAGAAAGAACAAGAAATGTTTTTATCTTACCCAAAATGTAACTAATAAAACATATGTTAGTGCAAGTAGTGATGAATGGATTATAGAAAACGAGAACAGTCTTTACACACACTAAAATATTCATTAAATGATATGTGTGAGTATAGATGGTAATAAACGAAGAAAAGAGAACAAAAACTATTTTTACACAATCTAAAACAAAACTAAGATAACTTGTGCAATTGTCAGTAAAGATAAATGAATAAGAGAAAAAGAGAACAGTATTTATAATTCCTAAAACATAAACTAAGTAAGGTAATGTGTGTCAGTGAAGGTATTGATGAATGAACAACAGAGAAAAGAGCGGTCTTTAAAAAACAAACAAAGACGACATATATGTCCGTTTTTGTGGTGATGAAATACTTTACAGAGAAATGATATAGTTTCCATTGGGATATTCAAAGCTTACAAATATTTTTCGTCAATACTTACTTTCAACTTTAATATCTATGTAACATTTAAGATAAAATCCTTCTCTGAATGTGAAAGTATATTCAATACGATGATTCCCAACAGTAAAATCGTGTGGGGATGTGATATTTGGTTTAATCGTCATCGTATATTGAGGAACTCTGCTCGTTCTACATCGAACTGGTATTGGCCAACTTACAGTCACCGCTTTTTTTGATGAATTGATGTAAACAGTTGAAGATTGAAAAGACGAACAGCTACAGTGACCTTTTTTTATAGGAAAGTACTAAAATCAACATCACGTAAGGGAATATTTACTTATATGACAATGCTAAATAGTAAACTTGCATATAAAATAATTTTTTGCTAGCCACAAGACATCATAAAACAGCTATAAATAATATAAATTCCGTTTTTGCTTTATAAAACACGACAGGTCCAGTGGCGGATCTAGGGTACCTCAAGACCCTCACGCGAGGTACATAAAATTTTCAAAGAATTACGTAATAATTGAGATCATAGGTTTTAGTCCAGTTAACTGAGTTAAGTTACTATTTGCGATCAGCGTTCAGTATCTGATCGCAAAATACTCAAATCTGATTCCAGTTTTTATAGTTTGCTTTTTGAAGCAAAGCGATTTTTTTGAGGTACTTGTCAGCGGCTACTGAGGTACCCAAGCTTGAATGAGCATTTTGATTGGCTAAAACTTGCAGTTACCATGGTTTCTGAGGGACTTGAGGAAATTTTGAGGTACCAAGGAAAATTTTGAGGCATAAGGAGAGAATTTTGAGGCACAAGCTGGTTTTGACCTTGAACTTTGTTTGGAATAATGTCTATGATTGGTTACGATGTTCCATGTTTATTCTAACAGTGCATTTTATTGGTGCATTTTATCAACTCCCTCAAGTACAGCAAGCGTACCTCACTATTTTCGACTTTCGACTTTCGAGATACTAGTATCGTTAACATTTACCGCACGCAATTTCTTCTGAAAATGGATAGAGATTGTTTTCTAGAAGCCCAAGAGGCAATGAACAGCAACAACAAAGAAGCTCTGTTGCTTCTGTACAACGAGCTACGCGGGCAGTTGAATTCAAAGCCAAGATGTTCATCTTACTTGCTTCGATCAAAACTGGGCAATTCACTGTACCGGCATATTGTCGCTGAGATATATATTCCAAGCAGTATGAAGTCGCAGGAAAGATCTACACTGCAATCAGGTAACGATGTGTTGATATGGCTGTTCAATTTAGCTTTTATTCTATTTCTGTCCGATTACGATGCTTTATCTGAATTTTTAATAAGCTTATCAATATCTGATGTTTTGTAATTCTTATATTTTGCATTACTTGCCAGTGCAGAAATCCTTCGTTTACCAATCGAAGTTTGTATTTTATTCGAATAATTAAATAAGCGAATAATAACTTATAAATTTAACTGAAATACTGGTATACTATTTATGTAAGGAAAATTAAGAATCTGAATGAATAACTTTATATGGCAATGTTACATGTGCTTAGCTGTTTTTAAATACGTAATATAACATTATTGGATGTTTAATATTTAAAGTTACGCTGTTTAGTACAACACAAAAGAAATTTAAACTAAAGAGGGATTATTTTGAACCTTGTAGATCTCAAGCATCAGGGAATTGTCTTTACAGCTCAGTATCTTTGCTGCTTGTAGGAGACAACAGCTTAGTAAGTATTTTAAGAATACTGACTTCCCTTGAGCTATACCTTCATTGTGATTTTTACAATAAACATCCTGCATTTTCTTTGGCAGTGACTGAGCACCATGACCTTAGTCTTGTTAATCTTTTGCCATTATCAGTATCGGCCTCATGTTTAGATTCCGGCTTAAAGAATGAGGATTTAATTAAGCAAGAAGCTATTTTAAATTGTTATGATGGTACCTGGTCACCTTTCTTGTGTATTCTGGGCTTATCATCAGTTATTGGTAATGAAATATTTACTTATTATCCAGATTGTGGGGACATAAGACCCAAATTACTTTTTAATAGACATGTAAACCCTCGCTTGGCAAATGAAGCAATTGTGAAGGATGTTGCTGTTCACATATTATTCTGCTATGAAGGCAAGGTTAAGTCTGGCGAGCTTTTGCCAAACCATTATGTTCCTCTTCTTTGCTCAACAAAAATGAAAACATAAAGTGTGTAACAAAAGCGCAAGCATCCTGACAACTCTTCTCTACAAGAACACCAAGATATTAAGCGATTCTTCCAGCTGTCTTGCATTGATAAACCTTCTAACAGTAATTTTAAAACTGATAAGTCTAGCCTTAGCACCTTATCTATTGACAAGTCTTCTTCTCTTGATGCAACTTGCTACAAAACCCCTTCTGATAAAATAGTGTCATTTAGTGAGGCTTCTTCTCTTGTTGACTGTCATATTCCCTTAATTTTGATGTTGCAACTTTCAGAGAAAAAGAAAAGGCATGAGCGATGGGGAAATTTACAATCTCATAGTAAATGTTTATAGACCAGATGAAAATTTTGAATTCCCAAAACGAATGGAAGATCTTTTCGTTATGATTGGTTAGAAAGGTATGAATGGTTATGTTATTCTCCATCCTTGGATGGGGTTTTGTTTGCCATGTGTCCTTTTGGTGATAATTTTAAAGATAAGGCCTCAAAATTTCCAACCTATTCTCTCAGCCACTTCGTCGTTGGACAGATGCATCCAAAATGCTAAAACGTCATGATGGCAAAGAGAGTGATGGCAAAATGAGTTTTCATGGTTTGAATGGTTTGCATGCTTCTACTTTTCCAGTTTATTCTGCCTTCAAATCTAACATGTCTGGTAAAACAAAAGGCATTAATGTTATTATTGATTCTAAGGTTAAGAAAGAAGTTGAAGGTAACGGGCTAAATTAAGTTCAATTACCGATACGGTCTTAACATGTGGTCGTTTGGGCTTAGCCTTTAGAGGTCATCGTGATGATGGGCACTATCATCCTGAAACTGGTAATTTTTCTGCAGGTGGTGTTGGGAATTTTGTTGAACTTCTTAATTTTAGAGTGCGTGCTGGGGACAAGGTGTTAGAGGACCATCTGAATTCATGTGGTAGGAATCAGACGTATATTTCTAAAACTTCCCAGAACAAGCTTATTAAATGCTGTGGTGAAGTAATAACAGATAAAATCATTTCTGACTTAAAAGCAAGCAGGTTCTACTCTGTAATTGCTGATGAGGCTCGAGACATCTCAAATACTGAACAGATGTCTCTTGTTTTGCGTTTTATCGACCAAAATATGGATATTAGGGAGGAGTTTGTTGGATTTCTTCCTTGTAAATGGGGCTTAAAAGGTGAGCAGCTTGCTAAGGTTGTTCTTGATGCTTTAGGCAACCTTGGTCTTTCTATTGCTGATTGTAGAGGACAGGGATATGATGGGGCAGGTGCTGTTGCTGGTCATATTAATGGGATGGCTGCTCATTTGCGTCGTTTGAATGATAAGGCTCTTTTTACCCATTGCTACAGCCACAGATTAAATTTAGCGATTTGTGAGTCTATTAATATAATGGATGTAAAATCGATGCTCAATAGAGTTAAAAAGTTTCTGATTTTTTAATATTTCCTACACGACAAATACCTTTAGAAAAGAATATTGACCTTCATGGTTCTTTATCAGCCGGTAGGAAAAAGAAATTAATAGATGTGTGTCGAACTAGGTGGGTTGAGAGAATCGACGGCTTAGATACTTTCCAGCAGCTTCTTATTCCTGTTTTTAAAACGTTGAGAGAAATGAAGAAAAATGTAGATAAAGATCACAGTCTCAATGTTTCTTCGGATGCCTCTGAACTTCTTGATCTTTTGGAAAAGTTTGATTTTGTTGTTGCCCTGGTTATTTGTAGAAATGTGTTTGATTCTACAATTGGTGTTACTCAGCTTCTTCAAGGGAAGAGTATTGACATTATGGATGGTTTACATCTTATTACATCGTTGAAAACTTTTGTTGTTAATGTTAGGAATTCCATTGATAAGTATCACGATACATGGTATGAAGAGTCTCTCGCACTGGCTCGAGAATTAGATATTGATGAAGCAAAGCCAAGGACAGTGGGAAGACAGACAACACGAGCTAATGTCCCCTATAAAACTACATCTGAGTACTATAAAAGAATTTTTTCTATTCCACTTGTTGACCACCTAAACTCTGCGTTGAAAGCTCGTTTCAATACTGATAGCGTTAATGTGTACAATGGGCTTAGCATTGTACCATATAAAATGATTTCTCTTCTTAACAATGGCATGAATTGGAAAGAAAAATTCAAAGTTGTTTCCAATTTTTATCACGATGACCTACCCAATCCATTGGCTTTGGACTCAGAGATTTTGCTTTGGGAAACTTATTGGGTTGATTACGAAGGAACCATTCCAGACTCAATTTCAGCAACTTTAAAAGCTTTAAAATTTGAAGGCTTTGAAAACATCAAAATTATTCTTCGTATTCTTGGAACCCTTACTATCACATCTTGCGAATGCGAACGCTCTTTCTCAGTTTTGCGCGAACTGAAAAATTATAAGCGAAGTACGATGGTTTCAGAGCGTCTAAACGGTTTGGCCATGATGAGAGTTCATCAAGAAATTGTGCCCGAAACGTCAGAAGTTATCGACAGATTTGCTATGGATAACACAAGATTAAAGTTCGTATAGTCATTATTAACAACAATCAAACATGAAAACAAGAAACTTAAAATAATAGCATCATTAAGGCATAATTTCGCAACCATTTAACTAAATGGCAGTCAAGTTGACTGTCCATGTCTGGCTGCTTTTTAGAAGCATGCCTAGGCATGCTGATGAGCTCTGATATTGAGCGAAACAGTCAGAATTATTGATTATATTAAGTGCTTCTTTAATCCGAAATCCTTGTTTTGCCACTGCTTCTTTTAAGCGCCGCCCCCTGTTACCGCGCTGCTCTTACGATCAAAAAAAGTTACAGCGCTGCGGCGCTAAAACGAGCACTCATAGTAATGCTACTTTGAGGGAGGTAAACGATTGGCCTGTATCCGCCACTGGACAGGTCATTTGTTGACTTCATTTAATGACGATAAGACTTCAACAACAACAAAACTGAAAATTGATACAAACCTGGTAAAAAAGACGTACAGAAGGCATCAACAATTTTGTTCAGTATTTCGTTCAGAGAATCAAATTCTGTGTCAAAAGTTGTCTTTTCTGAAGTTGATATTTTTTTAATGATTAAACTCTTCACTATAGATGGCCAGCCAACATCAACACCAACAATAAGAATGCCTTTGTCTTTCATTGATCTGATTTTATTGAATTGATTAAAATATAGTACATTAAATCTAGTGAATGGTAGATGACGGTAGAGAGCTATAAATCTATTTGTGATGAAAATAAAGGTTGTTGATAAATTTGTAACGAGAGAATGTTATCATGGAAAACTTAAAGAAAAATCAAAGAGTAACTTTAACACATCATTTATCACCTTGAATATTTGTAAGCGTCCTTTAATTCATCGCCTTCTTTCCTTCCACGTGGTTCACCATCTGTTATCAATAAGACAACGTCAGGGATGTTTGGTCGGTTGTTGTGTGGACTGCTCTCCTTGAATATCTTGTTCGTAAAATAAAATGTATTTTGCAATGTAATCAGTCAAAGAGATGTGTTATTTTACAGCTTTCCTATCTTAAAGGAGAAATTCACCTGTTTGTCCACAATGCCTGCACCAGTTCCAGTCATCGTTCTATAACCATAAACAGCCTCCCATATTAAAAAATGGTTTATAAATGTTATGTACTCTGTTTTTGTCTTAGCAGAGAAATGTAGAAGAATCTTCGTATGACGTTTGTCGCTGAATGTAACGATAGCAATTTGGGTTCCGTCAGGGCCGACTTTGAGCTTAGGACTGAAAACCAACTTTTTTAGAAACGGTTTTATTTTCCTATCAAAGTTGGGTTTGCCAATAGAGGCTGATGTATCAAGGAGAAGAACCATGTCTGTCTGACACATCTCTAAATTAAAGGTAGAAAATTAACATAAAAACGTGCGAGTAATGTAATTTCAAATGCGTCATTTAAATAACAATAACAGATTCATAAAGCAGTTACTGAAAGAACAAAGATACGGTTTTTCAAAGTTATCACTGATTTGTAGTTTGTTTAATTCGAGTCGATAAATTTAGAAATAATGTAAAACACAGTAATCTCAAAGCTGCTTCTTCTTAGTTGTTGGTATTGGTTTACAGACAGTTTTCTAACAACAGTTTCTGGTAAAGTAGCACGGCAACAAAGTTAAGAAGTTGAGAAGAAAGTTGTAGCATTTTTATACGTCTAATTGAGGATGATATTTATGTTTAGAGCATGTAAAGTTTTTTAGTTGGTGAATAATAAGCCACTTATTTTAAAAAGATAATACTTTTAAGATAGACAGTTATATAAAACCAAAGACAAGAAATGAAAATAGCTAAAATAAACACTTGTCCATTTAACAATGAAAACATATGCAAAATAATTTGGATTTTAGAGAACAAGCTAGATGCTCTGCTTTTAGTACTGTTATAAAAAATCCATATATCTACCTGTACATGAATTACATTCTCCTTCATAACCTTCCATACATTTGCATTCTAATGTTTCATCAACTTTCTTGTAGTATGTGTTGGATCCACATATGGGAAAATCAAAGGTTTGTCACTAAATATTGGTATTTAATAGGTAGAGTTTAACTAATGGCAGTAAATGTTTACGATAATTAAAGTACATATGTAAAAGATAAATGCAGGAATTACAAACTTGTTTCTTCGAAACGATTTTTAATTGCTTTTTCAAATATATATGAGCATAATGATATGGATGTGAATCATAAAAATTTAGCTTTTTCAATGACTTTTTAATGTGACTTTTCATATAAATCATTACCTAGCCTAAACTTTACGTAAGTGCATGTGTTAGTTTGTTTGAGTTATGAGCAGTATTTGTTATTTTGTGTTTTGATGAATCATATGTTTAATGATTTGATATTTCACTTACCATTTGACACTACACTAGTGCTTTGTACTACAGCCATACCATGATGACCATCACTCACAGCCACAGGGATGGAAAAGTTATAAGTCAAGTTATCTGTTGTGTTATAGGCCGTTACTATGCCTTTCTTTGCACTATTTATGACATATACAAAATTTCCAAATACTTTTATTCGTGCTCCTGGTATTGCAAAAACATCCACATTTTTGGCGAGGTAATCACATGAATACACAGTGTCATCGGAAACTCGCCAATATAACTTCTCTTCACCCATGTCAAGAGTAAGATCATATGCGTTTGACTCAAGAGAAACTGATGAAACGTGATCATTATTTGAAATCCTACTCCATATCCAAATTTCATGATATTTTTCTTCTGCTGAGAAAAGATACCTTAAACAAAAAAAGTTCTCGCTGAAATAGTAGCATTGATTAGAAAGTATGGTGTAAGTTTGGTACTATATATTATTATTTCTATAGATTGTTTAAAAGGTGCAATCAGTTGTTTTCCAATTCTCAAATACTTGCTATGCAGTGTGTCTCAAACGTACGTTTTCTTTCTAAGTAAACCGGAGTACATTGAATGATCCATGAGCTATGCAAAGCTCACGTTTATAGGTTTGAGCACTGTGGGAACTCTACAATACAATCCATACAATGTGTAACCGTACGTTCTGTGTCCCAAGCGCAGGAGTCACCTTAAATATGAAGATAGCCGGGAGGGCACATTATATAAATACTTTGTATACACCACATGTATATGTATTGATAATATTGGAGCAACGAAATTTTGTTGCTATTTTTCAGATAGCATTTTCAAAAAGTTCTGTACCAGATATAAATAATTTTTAGACGCGCAAGGGCTTCACAAATTGCAATGGAGCATTGCAAATATTTTGGATTTCATTGTATACAAGTATATGTTCATTGTTATTTTAATATTTTGTGAAACCAAGCAGAAATTATTTGTAATTTATGTAAGTTTCGAGCACTCGGACGATTGTGAGACAAGCAATAGATTGAATATATTAAAAATAAGACGCTTGTTAACCTAAAGGAGTGTTCTCTTGCTTCCCACATCTGCTTTTGAGACGTGGAAGGGCCCGAAGGGGGGACTTATAAATGTTAACTGAACTTTGATAGTTGTACCAAAACAGCGCTCAAAGCCACAAGCTTATTGCTACACTCATTTCAGTGTCGCACATCGCATACAATGACATATTTCATATTCGCTAGTACTTCCTACTTAGAATTTGACATCTCACGAAAAGCTCATAGGAAGAACAAATTGTATTGGAAAAAAAATTGAAAACCAGCAATAGATGTCAGCTCATTGAAATGCAGGGGCGGATCTAGAGTATGTCAAATCCGTCGCGCGACTGATGTTTGAAATTCAAAAATTACTTGTTCATATTAATTAAAAATACATTAATTATTCTTACTTTATTATCGCATTTACTTCGTGATAAAAATCCAGCTTTATTTATTATTGAAAACTAATGACTAATGCAATGAATATCTCCTTGGTAACCAGATCAGTTGAATTTTAATTGACCTGGAATAACCGACTGATAAGCGGGGTGGCTTGACTGGTTCGACTTATAAAGGAGTCTATGAACGCCAGAAACGCTATTTTATTGGTCAATGGCCAGATCAGTGGACAGTCTGGAATAATCTCGACCGATAATAAGGGTGGCCGGACCTATAAGGGAGTCCAATTGCTATCTTACAATTGGTTCATTTGAATTTTTGTCTTACTGTGATTGGTTTGACCGATTTCGACTGATAGCCAACTGAACTAACATAGTCAAGCTCACTGTCTGAATTGAATGTTTGATCGTTTTATAGTAATTTTTATAAGCATGATAGAAACTAAACTACAATCAGATGGAATTTATGGAAATCTTTTACAAATTCATATGTTGACATGAATGCTGCTTTCCAAACTGAGAATTTTTTCAAGAGGGTGAAAAATTTATGGATGAATTGTAAATGCTTGGCAAGGACGATCTCGCGAGCCACATTTCAGTCATTGATGTTCAAAAGCGAGCCAACATTGTTTTGAGTTTTATCAGCAGAAATTTACATCGAAAATCGTAAGTAAAGGACAAGTGAAGTGTATGCATGAATGCAATATATCAAAGTCAATTTATGCGAGTGTGTGATGCGATTTATGTTAATATGGCGTATGGTAAGCAGATTGATGCTTCTAAAATTGTTGTTGCCGAAGGACTTTTAGCTATGATTTCTTTAATGCTTGGGAATCGTGGCCGTTATATGGCAGCGAAATCCTACATTTCTGCAAATATATTTCAATGGACAAAAATCTGTAGCCATGAGGTGCCATACTATTATTTACTTTATCATAAACAAATGTTTGGGGCTTTTCAGTTTATGATCATTGATCATTCAATCATTGGACAGTTATACTACATATTGTTTTAAGATTTGAGAAAACTAACATTGATTACATGAGAAGCTGTTTACTATAACCTGTGATTTTGAGTCTTATGATCCATGAAGCTTTTATTTTGACAATTTGACTGGAATGGTATTAAACCTGAGTATTTCACATACATGAAATGTTGTCCCATGTCACATATTGTCCTTTTCTAACTGAACACCTCATGTAGAGATGTAAAGGTGTGTTAATCTACGG